TGCATGCTTGTGGTATGCTCACAAGATACTGATTCCTAGCTCTTTTTTAGTTTTTTGGTGTTTGGTTGGTTTTTTTTTTTTTTTGTCTTTTTCAGTTTTTATTTTTTGCCCCGAGTGCTGGGATTACAGGGGTGAGCCACCACACCCAGCCTTATCAGACACTTTAAAGAAGTATATTTTTGATATTAGCCCATTATCAGATGGAAGTATTGTATTTTCTCTCACTTTGTGGCTTGTCTTTTCATTTTATTTATTTATTTTTTGTCTTTTTCATTTTTATCGGTAACAGGGATCGAACTCACGACTGCCTGCTTGCAAGGCAGGTGCTTATGCTGCTGAGCTAAATCCCCAGCCCCTTCATTTTATTTTTAAAGCAGGGTCTTCTGAAAAAAAGTTGTAATTTTGACCGAGCCGAGTTTATCAGCATTTCTTGTTTTAAGTCAGTGTCGTCTGTGCCCTTCGCTACTCCAAAGTTGCAAAATTATTTTCTTCCTACACTACATTTTCCTCTACAAGTTTGGAGTTTTACTTTTTAGTTAGATTTTTTGGGTACATTTTAGACGGACATAACCCTCAGATTCGTCATAGAGAATGATTTGGCTGAAACCTGGATCCCCCCCAAAGCCTTGATGGGGTCACGGCCGGCTTCTAGAGTTTGTGACTGGTTCATGTCCAATACTGGGGTGATGGGCGTGAGCTACACCTGCCCTGGGAGAGTGTGGCCTGCGAGAGGAGACACAGAAAGTGTCTTCTCCTTGTGCTCCTCCCTCTGTGCTGTCTTCCGTCACCAAGAACGGTCACTCCCTGCCACAAGCTTGCCTGGGAGCCATCCAATTACGGGCTGAAACCTTCACAAACTGAGCTAAATAACCCTTTGCCCCTTTAATTTGAATGTCAGGTGTTTTGTCCCAGCAAAGAGAAAAAAAGTAACCAAGACAGAGAATTTGTAGCTGTAACATGGTGTAACTTCCCCTACCATCTCTTCAACCCCTCCTCCCCTGCCCATTTACAAAGCTTTATTTCCATGTTTTCTTCTGTTTTTAGTACCCAGAATCAAACTCAGGTGGGCACTGTGCTGCTGAGTCATGTCCCCTGCCCTTCTTTCTTTCTTTTTTTTCCAACTTCTCCCGTGTTTCCTTCCCCTCCCTTTCCCTTGTCACCTCCCCATTTGAACATATTCTTCCTGTTTCACAATAGCTATTATACAACCGGGTCCTTAGGTTTCTTAGCAGTACTCACATGTGTGTCCTGGACCCAAGAATGTGGTCTCAAGGGCATCCATTTACCTAGAAACATCTCAAGCTTTTCCCCGTTTATGCCAGAGTAGTGCTCTGTTCTAAAAAAAAATCTTTATCCATTCACCAGTTGATGGGCATTTGTCTGTTACAAGCCGTGTCTCTATAAACCTAGTGTGCGTATGTTGCTGTGGTATGATGCTTTTAATTCTTTTGGAAAGATACCCAGGAGCAGTGGAGTTTTACTTTTTCTCTTTGTTTTGAGACAGAATCTTGCCATATAGCTCAGGCTGGCCTTGAACTCACAGTGATCCTCCTGCCTCAGCCTCCTGTGTGCTGGGAGTGCAGGTGTGTACCACCACCTTTTGTGTACCTCCACCAGTTGTGGAGTTTTATTTTTTTAAAAGTCTGGTCCCACATGTGTAAACATCCTATTATCTCACTAGTGCAAGAACTGAAAGAAACAACATATATGTATATAAACAATAGGTAAGATAATTATACTAGGGGCTGGGGATTTAGCTCAGCGGCATAAGCGCCTGCCTTGCAAGCAGGTAGTTGTGAGTTCGATCCCTGTTAGCGAAAAAGACAAAAAAAAAAAATTATACTACCAAAAAAATAAAGTCTGTGGTCCATTTCTAATTAGTTTTTATGGGTCATATGAGATAGAAGTTGGAAAAATGTTTTTCCTGAACCAAATGTGTTTTGTTGTTCTGCTGCCACTTCATGGAAAGATAATTATTTTTTGTCCAGTACATTGTGTACTTTAGTCCCTTTGTGGCAAATCAGCTGGTCGTGTGTGAGCCTAATTCTAGACTCTTCTTTCCACTGAGCTGTACAACTGTTTGAGCCCCTGTCTGGATTATAATAGCTTCATACAAAGTCTTAAAATCAAGGAGTAGGGTTGGGAATAAAGCTCAGTGCACAGCGCCTGCCTGACAAGTATGAGGTCATGAGTTCGATTCCCCATACCAAAAAATTAATGACATCAGGGAGTATGAGTTCCCCAACTTTGTTCTTTTTCAAAATTGTTTCGGGGTGCCGGGCCTTTCGTGTTCCCATGTGCCTTTTAGCATGAGCTTTTCAGTTTCTCTCGGGATGCCGGGCTGGGCGTGGTGGGGTGAGCCAAGGGGTGAGACCAGCTGGGACTGTGCAGGGAGAGCCTGCCTCAGGACAAACACGCCAGCAGAGCCTTCCACAGTGCCGAGATGCCTGGAATCCCCAGGTCAACCTAAGCCTGCTACCCCTGAAAATTAACTTTATTAGTACATCACGGACATGCATATGCTCACATTTGTCCTAGGAATTTGTAGCCTGACGCAGGATTTTCCCCAGGCCCCTTCCCTCTCTTCAACCCCTCTTGCCCTCCTTATTTACAAAAGCTTTGTTTCTGTTTTTTCTTTTCCCTTCTTTCCTTCACTCCTCCCTCACTTTTCCCCTTCCCATTGGGTTTTCTTCCCGTTTCCAACATCTGTTACACACCTCAGTCCTTACTCTTTCTCTGTCTCACCTGAGAAACAGGCACAGATCCAGTTTCTTACACCACACATCAGTCACTTCCCACGGCTGGAACAAAACCCCTGACACCCACACTTTTAAAGGCGGAGGAGAGCCCAGCATGGTGGCTCACACCTGTAATCCCAGCACTCGGAAGGCTGAGGCAGGAGGATCGTTGCGAGTTCGAGACCTGCCTGGGATACAAAGTGAGCTCAAGGCCAGCCTGGACTGCATAGAGAGACCCTGTCTCAAAAAAATTAAATAAATGAGAAATAAAGAGAAAGGAGATTATCAGACTCATAGCTTCGGGAGGTTCGGTCCATGGTCGGTCACCCCAAGGCAGGGACAGCGTGGTGGAAGGGCCTGGTGCAGGAGGACCGCCTGGGAGCAGAGAGGAGGGAGGGATGGGGACAGGGTCCCCACCCTTTCAGGCCATGTCCCCAGCTGCACCCCAATTCTTCAAGGCACCTTCAGGTCTGAAGAACCCCCTGGTGAGCATAGCATTCCATGATCCCACTACCTTCCCAAAGCACCTGCTCTGCATACCCGAGCCTTTGCCATTGCAATGGGAAGCTTCGGTGCTGATCCCCAGGGAGGCTTCACCCAGCTCTGCTGTGCACGATTTTCCTGGCGGCTCCCTGCGATCCTAGCTGCGCTCTGGGTATGAATGGAACTGGGGGGAGTACAGAGTGCGCCTTGCTCAGGGCCGCCAGTGTCCCTCCCACCTCCCTGAGACTGTGGGAGGTGCGCGTGCAGCCGGGCTTGGGGTGCCAGGCCTGGGGCGCTTTTAGAGGCCCCACGGCGAGGGCCCTTAGGACAGGTGGCGGCCGGGCCGGCATTGCCAGGCCCGGGACAGAGTCATCTGTGCAGGATTGAGGGAGTGAAGAGAAGGCTGACTGTACCCGGTGCGGCCCACAAAGCCTGAAATATTTACTGTCTTTTTTTTTTTTTTTTTTGGTGCTGGGAATTGAATTTAGCTCGCTTGCCAGGCAGGTGCTGTGCCTCGGAGCTGAACCCCCAACTATCCGGTCCTTCCAGGGTGTTCACCAATCCCCAGTCGTCTTATTTATTTTTCTATTTATTCTTTAGCATTTTTGAGGCAGGGTCTCACTGTGTAGCCCACATTGACCTCGCACTCTCAGCCGGTCTGCCTTGTCCTGCCTCAGCCTCCCGGGTGCTGAGAACACGGCTGCCCAGCCCGGCCTGAGGCTCTGCTGCGCAGGCACGGTCACCGAGTGCGGCCAAGTGGCCTCAACTAAATCCATTACATCTCAGCAGCGCCTCTTCCTCCGTCTGTACATGGGGATTTGGGAGGATGTGGGGGCCCGCACCCCAAAGCTGCGGGCGCTGGGTGGGAGTGCTGTGTGGATGAAGAAGGGCCTGAGGGCACGGTGGCACATTCCTGTGAGCTCCACACTCGGGAGGCTAGGCAGGAGGATCACTGCAACACAGTGCAATCCAGATCAGCCTAGACCATGCAGAGCCTGTGGTCAACAAAGAAAAATAAAACAGAGTGGCCATGTCACCGTCACCCTCCCAGCCGTCCAGCCAGGAGACAGTGCAGACCAGAAATGCTGAAAACCCATGCCACGGCCAGAAACAGCCCAGGACCAAGGCAGCAGTGATAAGAAAGCCAAAGCTCTGGGGAGGCTTTGGAATTTAGAATGTGAACCCCACGATTGTCCTGTAACTGCGTTCTGAGATGCTGCCTCCCAGCGCTTCGCCCTCTCCCAGTCCCAGCTACCATCCTCAGGCGGTGGCCGGAAGGAGGGGATGCGGGCCGATGAGCCCTGGGCCCACTGGAGATGTGGGCTGGGGTCCTGGGCCCCTGGGTGCACTGAGGGCGCCCCTGGGGCAGTGGTGAGGCAGCCCAGGCAGGCCGTGGCCCTCTCCTGGGGGCTCCAAGGGGATCCTCTCTGGGGAGCCAGAGGTACCGTGCCCAGCACACCCCAAGGGCCGTGTGTTCACTGTGCCTGCAGGCTGTGGGGCCTCTGGAGGTCCCAGGATCTGAAAACGTACCTGCCGGGCCTGGGAAAGATTCTGGGCCACCGTGGCTGGCACTTGGTGCAGAGAACAATTTTAAAATAAAACTGTCTGTAGGGTGGTGCAGGGCTGTCATCCCAGAACCTGGGAGGCTGAGGCAGGAGAACTGCTGGGAGTTGGAGGCCAGCCTGGGCCACACAGCAAGTTCAGAGCCAGCTTGGATGACATAGCGAGCCCCAGTTGGTCTTAAACAAACAGCATGAAATACTCTGGTTCCTCCCACAGGTTCCTGCCAGGACCTCCCCTCACAGCGTCACCAACACTGTCACCACCACAGCTGCCTGTAGAGCATGACCCAGCTGGCCGCCCATGCCCCCTGGTGGACTCAGAGGTGGGTCTGCTGCCAGAGGGTGTGTTGGGTACCAGGCAGGAGGGCAGAGGAGGCAGAGATACAGTGGGCCAGGGGATGTGGCCTCGGCTCCCCACTGCAGTCCTCGGGGCTCCCACAGGAAGAGCCACTCATCAGCCCTGCATGGGTGGTGGGGCTGGTCTCGGCCACCACAGGGAGGATTTTCCTACCTTTATGTTTTCAGTGTTTTTGAAGCAGAGTCTCGATATGTGAGCACAGCCTGGTGTTGGACTCAGTGATCCTCCTGCCTCAGCCTCAAGTGATGGGGTCGCAGGTGTGCGCCATCACACTGGCCCAAGAATTGTCCTGGAACAGGGCAGGGCCAGCACCTGGCCTCTTCAGCACAGCCACCGGTGCTCAGGCCTTACTGGCACGGTGCTGCGGAGGGCCGCTGGGAGCTGGCCTCGCCTCCCTCCCATGGACCTCCTTCAGGTTCCACTTCCCGCTCCTCTCCTGGTGGTGGTTTGGAGCCAGAATCTGCTGTCAGATTCTCCGCTGAATTTGCTAAGATCCTGGGGAGCAGGAGCACGGATTTTGAAGTGTTTCCTTCTGAGAGAGCACACACCCACAGGGAGTGGTGCAAAGCCCAGGGGTCCCTGTGGCAGTCTCCCTGCTGCCTGCCAAGGTAGGGCCATGGTGGGGCTGTCACTGATGCCAGTGCAGCCCCCACGCTGGTGAGGTTTCCCTGGTTCTGCAGGCTCCGGGTGCAGTGGGTATGGTGTGTGGGTGGGTGGGTAGGTGTGCATGCAGTACATGCGTGGGCTGGTGCAGTGTTAGCACCTTGGGTATGTCCACCATTCAGACACTCCCCGAGGGAGGCGTTCACTTTCCCAAAGAGTGCTGGGCACAGTAGCATGGGCCCATCATCCCAGCACTCCAGAGGCTGAGGCAGGAGGATCGTCGCCAGTTCAAGGCCAGCCTGGACTGCACAGAGGGACCCTCAGTTGGCAGCCCTGCACTCAGGCAGGACTCCTGAGTCCCTTTCCAAGACGGGAAACCGCATACTCTGGGCCTGTGCCAGGCACTCTGCCTGTGTGTGGCCTGGTGACCGTGGGGACAGTTGTCCTCAGAGCATAGGTGTAAAGCCTGGAGTGTTAGGTGACTGCCCTGGGTCCCCAGCCAGGCCCTCTGGCTGGCGGCTGCTGACCCCACGGCTGTGTCTCCCTCCTGCAGGTGAGTGCAGGCCACGATGGGGGACTCCCGGGACCTCTGCCCTCACCTGGACTCCATCGGGGAGGTGACCAAAGAGGACCTGCTGCTCAAGTCCAAGGTGAGGGTGATGCTGACGGGCTGGGCTGGGGGCACCTGTTCCTGGGTGTGGCTGCTGGGCCTCTTTCCTGGCTCTGTGCAGCCTCTGGGTTCGCAGGACGCTGGCCTCTGCCTGGCAGCCTCCCTCCCAGGCTTACAGCGCCACCCAGCCTGGCCACCGCTGGGCCTGGGGGTGGAACCAGGGCTTACACAAGCACGATGCTTGCTTGCCAGCCAGGCCTGGAGTGAGTGCGGAGAGGCTGTGAGTGGGGGCACGCTGGGCGTGTGGCCTCTGGGCGTGCGCTGTGGGTGCTATGCTGAACCTTCCTGAAGAGGAACACAGTTCAAGAATGAATCGACACGGCCTGGTGTGCTGGTGCACACCCGTGATCACAGCGCTCTGAGGAGCTGAGGCAGGAGGGTTTCAGCCTGAACAGCTTGGCGACTGGGAAGAAGCAAAGAAGGGCTGCCGCAGGAACTCGGTGCAAGGTCTTGGGCTCGGTCCTGGTGCCTCCCACTAAGACGCAGCCTCTCTGGTCTCCATGAGGCTTCTGGAAGCCCTCCCCACTCAGGTCGCCACTGCTTTGCTTGCTTTTGTGTTTTCTTAACAAAAGTGAATGTGAAGAGGTTCAGTGAGCCCTGTTTCGCCCTTTTTTCCATGAGGATGGCAGAGGCCAGCGGTTCTGTGTTGTGGCTGCAGCAGGGTCCGGTCCCCTGGCTCTGTCTCCAAGAGGCCTGTTTTGGTGACCTCTGCTCATCTGTGAAAGGGGATGGGGAGGTAGGGTTGACAAGACAGGGTCCCACGTGCAGGGCACGTGATTAAGGGCACAGTTTAAGTTGCTGTTAGAGGTGGATAGGCACGGGAAGGTGGCTTTGCCATTCTTTTTTTTTTTTTTTTTTTCCTTTTTATTGGTACCGGGGATCAAACTCATGACTGCCTGCTTGCAAGGCAGGCGTTTATGCCGCTGAGCTAAATCCCCAGCCCCAACTTTGCCATTCTTGATATGTGACTTTTAACTCTTGAGTCCAAAGTGATTGCCCTGGCTCCTGCCGTCACATCTGAATTTCACCCTGTGGTAAGAGAAGGAGGAACAAAGGTAGCACGTGGCTCAGAGGAGGCCTGTATGTCTTTCCCCATTATCTCACTGACTAGAGCAGAATGAGGAGGGAGGGTCAGATAACAAGTGCAGTGCAGGAAGGAGAGCGGATGACAGGAGAAGAAGGGGTCAGTCTAGTGCAGCCATCAGCGGTTTTATTTGAAAATATTTTATAAGCACATGGTGAGAAGACTGACAGTGACAGGCAGTGGCCTGGCAGTGCTGGCCAGGGCCAGTCCCAGGGAGCTAGGTGTCCGGAGCTCAGCCCTGCAGCTTCTCACTCTCTCTGCCCTCAGGGTACCTGCCAGGCATGCGGCGTCTCAGGACCCAACCTGTGGGCCTGTCTGCAGGTGAGGACAGGGTGCAGGGGCGGGAGGGGACGGGGGCTGCACTGGGGGTGCTTGGCCCTCCAGGGGATGCCCCAAGCACAGCTCTGGCTCCCTAAGAAAACTAAGAGGGTAGGGGACACTGTTGTCATCCCAGCACTCAGGAGGCTGAGGCAGGAGGGTTGTTGTGAGTTTGAGACCAGCCTGGGCTACAAAGTGAGCCCAAGGCCAGCCGGGACTGCAGAGTGAGACCCTGTCTCAAAAAGACAAAAAAAAAAAAAAAGAAAAAAGAAAAAGCCCACAAAACACTACACTGTGTGCCCACCGGGAGACGGAGCCATGCTCAGAGTACCTGGGACCGGGAATGTGGCTGCACACAGCTGAGGGGGCATGGAGGACAGGTGGGGTGCTTCCACCTCGGGACACCCACAGTCAGGAGGGCCAGGCGAGGATGAGCAGGGGACCCCACCCCGACCCTCACCCCAGAGCTTGCTGTCCACAGGGGAGGACCCTATGCGCCCTCGGCCGGGCCCAGGAGGGGGGCAAAGTGGCAGAGATGGGGGCTTGGCCCCCCCACCCAGCATCCACTGGTGTAAAACGGCTTCGACCCCGGGGTGCTGAGGTTTGGGTCTGAGCAGCCCCCCAGCAGGACATGAGGCTGCGTGGAGGGACAGCCTGGGCTGGGGGAGGCTGGGGCCGGCCTGGCTGGGACGGAGTCAGAATCCAGACTCACAGCCGTGCCCTCCCTGCAGGTGTCCTGTCCCTATGTCGGCTGTGGAGAGTCCTTTGAGGACCACAGCACCCTCCACGCGCAGGTGGGTGCGGGGCGCGGGCACAGCCATGGTGGCAGCAGAGCCCGGTGGTGACAACTTGGGTAGAGGCAGGGGCGGCCCCGGGAGGGGCACCCTGGCCTCACCCCGCCCCTTGCTCGCCCGCAGGCCAAGCAGCACAACTTGACAGTGAACCTGACCACCTTCCGTGTGTGGTGCTACGCGTGTGAGCGTGAGGTCTTCCTGAAGCAGCGGCTGGCCGCCCCGCCTGGCGCCCCGCTGCGGTTCCCCGAGCAGGTACCATGGGGCTGGGGATGAGGACACTGTGACCTGTGTGTCAGTGCCGTGGGGATAGTCTGCTGTGAGCCAGGAGCTGTCGGGGGCCAGCTCACTGAACCCCCCATGTGCCCACAACTGCATGACCCAGAGGCCCAGGATGCTGGGGACAAGGCAGAGGGGCCCAGGAGCCAGGCAGCTGCTGGCAGCTCCAGATCTGAGAGCATCACAAGCAGTCACTGCTGTGTCCCTCTGGGTAGGGGGGACCACCCAGGTCCCCAGGGCCACGTGACAGCACGCAGTCCCTCTGGTCCAGTGCATGTGGGCTGGGCTACTGTGTCCCCCACGGAGAGTACACAGCCTGGCGGCTCTGGGCGTGCGTGAGCCGCCAAAGGCAACAGACAGAGGAATTGGATGGATGATTGGACAGATGGACAGAGACCCAGTTAACGGTTCTCAGGGCCGAGGCCACCACCTGTCTTTAGTTGTCTGTGTCCGCCCAGGTGGATTCCAAGTCATCCAAATCATTCATTGTTGCAAAGAAGGGGACCAGGCAGGGGTCCCCGCCATACCCGCCCTTCCCCCTGGCTCTGCCACACTTTGGGATGGGGTCAAGGGCTTGGCACCCTGTTCCTGACCCTGGGTCTCTATCACAGGGCTGCCCGCCGCCCTCCCACCCCTTGAGAGCCGTGCCCATTGCTGTAGCTGATGAAGGGGAGTCAGAGTCAGAGGACGATGACCTGAAACCTCGAGGTAACGGTCCCCAGCATGGCGGCCTGGGAGGGCAGCTGGGGGGAGCCCACCCTGGGTGGCCTCTCACGCGGTCCCGGAGGCCCAGCTGTCTGCATGTGGCCTCGTGTGGCTGTCAGGGCAGGCGGCACCCGGTGTTGGGAGATGGCAGGGGTGGGCAGGGCCCAGCTGCTAGGTGAGGTGCGTGAGGTCCCCTCGCTGGACCGGGCCGTCACCGCCCCACGTGTCACCTCCCAGGTCTCACGGGCATGAAGAACCTAGGCAACTCCTGCTACATGAATGCCGCACTGCAGGCGTTGTCTAACTGGTAGGCGCCTTGGCCCAGCCGGGGTGGGGATGGCTCTCAGAGGGGACCAGAGGTGGCAGGGTTCTGGATGCTGATGTGGAAGAGGGAGACGGCCACATAGCCCGGGAGTCCCATCCCCTGCCCCCACCCCAACCTCCCCAGGCAGCCAGGAAGCTAAGGCCAGGGTGTTGAGACCAGCGGGTCTCTCTCTCCTTGGCCTGCAGGTAGCTGTCTCCTGCCCCGTCCCCCGGGTCTGCCTGTTGCATGCATATGGGCCTGTAGTCACTGGCTTCCCTGGCTGCATGGCACCAGGCAGCTGGGTTGTTGCCGGGGCAGCCACTTGGCCGCTGTGCAGCTCCTGTTTGAGTGTAGAGCCTGAGCCTGGGCCCACTGTGGGCAGGGGCTGCAGTCCTGCAGGCCTCTCCGGGCGCAGGGCCCGAGCTTCACTCCTCCTGACCGGGCCGTGTCCCCTACTTCCTCCCACCCAGCCCCCCACTGACCCAGTTCTTCCTGGAGTGTGGCGGCCTGGTGCGCACAGACAAGAAGCCAGCCCTGTGCAAAAGCTACCAGAAATTGGTCTCGGAGGTCTGGCACAAGAAGCGGTGAGCCCCTGGGGCCAGAATTGGGGCCCTGGGAGGAGGGGCCAGGCCTTTGTCACCGAGTCAGCACTTCCTGCGGTCAGCAGAGCGGCCCCTGGGCCCATGTGTGTGGCTCACATCCACCCTGCCTTGCACAGGGGACTCAGGCGCAGGCAGCAGGGCTTTAAGTGTCTTGTTCGTGGCTGGGCATGGTGGGGCACGCCTGTCATCCCTGCACTCAGGAGGCTGAGGCAGGATTACCATGCGTTTGAGTTCAGCCTGTGCGTCTAGAATTCAAATCAAGACTGTCACAAAACAAAACAAAACAAAACAAAAGGAAACAAAAGAAAACATTGTAAAAGTTTTTTTTAAAAAGTTCTCTTGCTCACTGTTACCGGCTTGTGCAGAGGATCTAGGATTTGGCCCTGGGTTGAGCCCAGGTGGCAGCCACTTTCCAGAAAGTCGGGTCAGGCCTGGCCTCGGCCACAGCTGCAGTCACACAGAGGGCGGGAGCCACTGGCCCAGGACTTGTGGCTCAGGACATAGAGGGTGAAAGAGCACAAGCCTGGGTCAGTCCTGCCTTCAGGAATGGTGACCGGTGGGAGGAGCACAAGAGGAGCACACAGGAGGCTGAGGCAGGGTGGTTGCAAATTCAAGGCCACCCTGAGCAGCTCAGGAGACCCTGTCTTGAGTTAAGATAAAAACAGGCCCAGGAGTGTCACTCAGTGGAAAGCACTTGCCCAGGATGCGTGAGGCCCTGGTTCCTCCCCAGCAGCACAGAAAGGAACAATACCATCCAGTAGATGGGGACCAGGATTTGTACTTGTGCAGAAAATTCTGGATTTTAGGAACTTCTAGGTTTTTGTTTTGTTTTTTGAGACAGGGCCTCGCTACAGAGCACAGGCTGGCCCCGAACTCACAGTGATCCTCCTGCTTCAGCCTCCCCAGTGCTGGGATTACAGGCAGGTGCCATCAAGCCTGGCAAACTTTTAGATTTTAAACAATGGACCTGCATCACTCTTGAAATGGGAACCACAGGAAACGTTTTACAGAGAGGAGAGGGGAGCTCCATTGCCTCCTTCCTGGCTATGTGGCCATGTGTGTGACTCACTGGGGTTCCTGGCTGGGTTGGTCCCCACAGCTGATCTGATTCGGCCCTGTGGCCACCTGCACCCCAACCTTACACAGCTCGAGGCTGGGCACCGGGGCTGAGCTGAGGGGTCACCTCTCCCCACAGGCCGAGCTACGTGATCCCCACCAGCCTGTCTCACGGGATCAAGCTGGTGAACCCCATGTTCCGTGGCTATGCCCAGCAGGTAGGCCATGAGCTCCGGGCAGGGCCACAGCAGGAGGCCTAGTGCCAGGCGGGGGCTGAGGGTGGGGCCTGTCTCTAGGTGAGACCAGTGTGCACTGGGACGGGGGCACAGCCCCGCAGCAAGCTGTGCAGGGAATGAGTTGGGGCAGCTGGGCCTAGGCGCCCGCTCACAGCCTTGGTACCAAGCCATGGCAGGATCTCAATTCTAGTAACTAAAAATGTGAATTACAATCAGTTTTTAGTTTGGGAGAGCTCCTTATAGCAGCCACACAGGCCAGGCATGGTGGCACACGCTTGTCATCTCAGCATTGGGGAGGCTGAGGCAGGAGGACTGCTGTGAGTTCGAGGCCAGCCTGGGCTCCACGAGTATGGGGCCACTTTGGGCTACAGAGTAAGTTCCAGCTCAGTGTGAACCTCATAGTGAGACCTCATCTCAAAAAAAAGTCAGATCTTTCTAATTTATAAAGTCACGGGGCGTAGTTGGGCATGTGGGTCCATGCCTGTCAGCCCAGCACTCTGGGAGGCTGAGGCAGGAGGATCAAAAGTTTGAGCTTAACCTGGGTAACCCAGTGACTTAGCAAAACCCGCCTCAAGATGAAAAATGAAAGCGGCACCAGGGCTGTAGCTCGGTGCGAAGGCCCTGCACTCAGCCCAGCCCTGCGTGCCCACCAGCACACACATGGCAAGACCAGGGACAGTGGCAGGGACCTCAGCCAGCCCAGCGGCCCACACAGTCTCGTGGCCGAGTGTCGGTGGAGCCCGTGCAGCAGGAGAGTGACAGCACCCGCTGCCCACACGAAGGGGACCCTGGTGTCACCCTGTGTCAGGGTACAGAGCGAGGGTCCGGCACCCAGCACTTGGGACAGAGCTGTCCCCTGGCTGGGGGACATCACCCGGCTCCAGGAGAAGCCTCCTTTTCTCTGACACACACAGGGCTGTGGCCTCTCAGGGCAAAGGACATGTCCCAGCTTCGAAGTGAAGGAGCACAGTGCTGTGTGTGTGTGGTCCTAGCTCAAACCCAGGACCTATACATGGAGCTACAGATCCAGTTCTTATTTAAAATTTTGAGACAGGGTCTTGGTAGCTTACCCAGGCTGGGCTTAAACTTTCAATCCTCCTGCTTTGATGTCCTGAAGTGCTGGGATCACCAGCACACTGGGCCTCGGCTGGGGCTCCCTGAAGCTGTTAAAGGCAGAGCCAGAACTGCTGGCTGCACGCTGTTTCTTAGAGGGACACCTCCGTGTGCCCAGCTCTGTGACACTGGCTGGTGGCCGATGGCCCTGACCTAGCCTGGGAGACTGTCCTGGGTCCCTCTCCGTGGCGGCGCCCAGGGAGCAAGGCTCAGGAGACCCATCAGGGCCACCTTCAGTGCCCTGAGCTGACTTGGTGCCCCTCGGAGCGCGTGCCCCGGGCACAGCCCACACAGCCGTGTGCCCGCAGGACACCCAGGAGTTCCTGCGCTGCCTCATGGACCAGCTGCACGAGGAGCTCAAGGAGCCGGGGACAGCGGCCACGGCAGCGCTGACCGAGGCCCGGGACTCGGACTCCAGCGACACGGACGAGAAGCGGGAGGGCGACTGCAGCCCCTCGGAGGAGGACGAGTTCCTGTCCTGCGACTCCAGCAGCGACCGCAGTGAGGGGGACACGCAGGCCGGGGTTGGGGCGGAGGTGGCCGGCCGTGCCATCTCGGAGAAGGAGCGGCTGAAAGAGCGCAGGGCCGCCTGGGGCCGGCAGCATGGTGGCTCGGAGCAGGTGGACGAGGACGCCGATGTGGACACCGCGTTGGACACGGGGCCTGCCGAGGCCCTGCCCCCGTCCCCGAGGCCCTGCAGCCCCTGCCGGACTCCAGGTAGCGGAGCTGGGGTCCCCGCGGTACGCTTGGGGGGCCGCGGCCCAGCCGCCAGCCCAGCAGCATCCCCTCTCTGTCCCCAGAGCCCGACAACGACGCCCACATGCGCAGCCCCTCTCGCCCCTGCAGCCCCGTCCACCTCCACGAGGGCCACACCAAGCTGCCCAGCAGCCCCCCGCGTGCCAGCCCCGCACGGCTTGGGCCACCCTATATGCTCAAGAAAGGTTCGGAGCACAGGGCGGGGGACCCGGGGTGTGCAGGGTGACCCCGAGTGTAAGCGGCGGGGCATCACATGGCCTGTGCTCCCCCCAGCTCAGGTCTCCAGCAGCCGGCGGCGGAAGGAGCAGTCCTACCGCAGTGTCATCTCGGACATCTTCAACGGCTCCATCCTCAGCTTCGTGCAGTGCCTCACCTGTGACCGGGTGGGTGGCCGTGTCCTACTCTGCGGGGTGGGAGGGTGGAGCACCCTGACAGCCAGGTTTGGGTGTGGGGCGCTGACCTGCAGCCCCATAGGTGTCCACCACAGTGGAGACCTTCCAGGACCTGTCGCTGCCCATTCCTGGCAAGGAGGACCTGGCCAAGCTGCACTCGGCCATCTACCAGAACGTGCCGGCCAAGCCGGGCACCTGTGGGGACAGCTACGTGGCCCAGGGCTGGCTGGCCTTCATCGTGGAGTACATCCGGCGGTGCGTCAGGGACATGTGTACACACTGTCCTGCAGGGAGGTGACAGCAGGGGCAGGAGGGAGCCAGGATCACCAGCAGGGGAGCTGCCCTGGCCTCTTGGGATCCCCGGACCTGTGATGGATGCAGGTGGAGGGCAGATGATCCCAGAAGGACCTCCCTGGCCAGCAGTGGACGAGGGCCAGGGGCTGGGGATGACTCCTGCCCCCAGGACGTCTGGGGCTCGGGCCAGGCCCACCCTGTGCAAGCCCCATACTCTTTCCTGTAGGTTCGTGATCTCCTGCACCCCCAGCTGGTTTTGGGGGCCCGTGGTCACCCTGGAGGACTGCCTGGCTGCCTTTTTTGCTGCTGACGAGCTGAAGGGTGAGGCTGGGCTGGGGGAAGGACTTGGCCTCAGTCTCCCTTCGTTACTAAGGAGTTTGAAGAGTATTTGGTAAATGTGCTGACAGGGTTTCCTCAAAACTCCCCATCCCTCTCCTTTGATTTTTTTTTTTCCTTTTGGTTGTTCAGCATTTTATTTACCTTTGAGAAATAAACTTTTCTCTCCTTTTCAATTTTTAACTGTGGCAAAATCTAAGTAACAGAATTTACTGTCATAAAACCAGGCATGGGGGCTTGGGAGGCTGAGGCAGGAGGATTTCCATGAGTTTGAAGTCAGCCTGGGCTACTTAGTGAGACCATGTCTCCAGATCTCACTTCCCCCCAAAAGAAAGTTACTGTCATAGCCATTTTTGGTGGACATTTTTTAGTGTGTGTGCCAGAAATCGAACTTAGGACCTTGTACTTGCCAGGCAGTTGTTTGTGCCACTGAGCTACACCCCCGGCCCTTAGGTGTTATTGTTAAAATACGGATACCACTCAATAATACTACACACTCTTACATTATTGTGCAACCATCACACCCATCTGTGAACTTTCTGGGTTTTTTCGGGTACTAGCAATGGAACTCAGGACCTGGGCTTGCCAGGCAGGAGTTTGCGCTGCTGAGCTAATCCCTGCCTCTTGTTTGTAGAACACTGTCCCTGCAAAACTTTATCCATTAACTTTCATCCTGAGGCTGGGCGTGGTGGCCCACACCTGCAACTCCAGCATTCTGGAGGCTGAGGCAGGAAGATAGCTTCGAGGCCAGTCTGGGCTACCAAGTAAGCTCAAGGCCAGCCTGAACTGCACAGTGAGACTCTGTCTCACAAAGACAAAAAAAAAAAAAAAACAAAACTTCACTTTGAAGGAGGCCTGGTAATACATGCCTGTTGTCCCAGCACTTTGGAGGCTGAGGCAGGAGGAGCACTTGAGTTCAAGGGCAGCCTGAGCTACATAGTGAATTAAGGGCATTCGGCTCGCAGAGCAAGTTCTGCTCCAGATGAACTAATGTCTGCCTTCCATGGCCCGTGGAGGCCACCACCATGTTCTCGGGACCTGGCCTCCTGCTCTGAAGCTGCCTCCTATATAGTCTGCCCTGCTGTTCCTACGTCTGGGTGACGTCCTCAGGGCCCTCCCAGGCTCAGGCTGTTGTAAACGGCCCCTGTTTTTAAAGGCCGAGTCGTACTCTACTTCGGATTGCACACGCTGTGCCCATCCGTCCCTTGGTGGACTTGGGTTGTGTCCATGCTGAGCTGTTGGGAGAGTGGCCACTACGAGCCTGCGCAGAAAGTTCTTCCCATGCTCTGCTCACACCCAGCAGGAGCACAGCCAGGTGGGGGGGGGTCTGGCCCTGACCGAGGGGCCGCTGCTGATGGCCACCAGGGCCGTGCATTTCCCATCCCCTCTGGCAGTGCCCCGCTTCCGGTCTGCACACCCACACTCAGCGCTGCTCACTTGGCTGGGAGAGTAGCAGACCTAGTGGGCGTGAGGCACTTTGGCACTGTGAGGTTTTGGTTCTTGAGGTGCCAGGGCTTGAACTCAGGCTTTCAAGTGGAGGTGCCTCCCCGGCCCTTTTTGGAGTTTTTGTGTTGAGATGGAGTCTCACTAAGAAGTGACCCAGGCTGGGCCCCTTGATTCAGAACCCTCCTGCCTCAGCCTCCCCAGGGCTGGGATGACAGGTGTGCACCCCACGCCCACTCGCTGGCGTTTTCTGCCTGGATCCTTGCATGTGCTTTCTCTCCTGTGTCCTGCCCTGCTGACCCTCCTCTCTGTCCTCTGTGCAGGTGACAACATGTACAGCTGTGAGCGGTGTAAGAAGTGAGTGTCTGTTGTGGGGGCCCTGCCCAGGGTCCCTTCAGGGTCATCGCCTTGTCCCAATGTGTCCCAGGGTCTCAGGGGACGCTGACTCGGGCTCTGTGTCCCCAGGCTGCGGAACGGTGTGAAGTACTGCAAGGTCCTGCGGCTGCCTGAGGTGAGTACCCACGGCTCTGCCCGGCGGTGGGGAGATGGTGCCCCCAAGTCCCAGAGGCCTGTGGGGTTCCGGGGGGGTCATTTCCACGTCAGGAGGGCTGCAGTCGCAGTCTGCATCTGGGGCTTCGCAGGGGGCGGCCTGGGGTTGGGGGCCTGCGGCCAGGAGTCTGGTTCCCTTGCGCCCCCTGGTGGCAGTGGTGGCCAAGCTGCTTCCCGAGAGGCAGCCCAGCTCTGGTGACCCCGAATCCCCCCCAGATCCTGTGCATCCACCTGAAGCGCTTCCGGCACGAGCTGACCTACTCCTTCAAGGTCAGCAGCCACGTGTCCTTCCCGCTCGAGGGCCTCGACCTGCGCCCCTTCCTGGCCAAAGAGTGCACCTCCCAGGTCACCACCTACGACCTCCTGTCCATCATCTGCCACCACGGCACGGCAGGCAGTGAGTGACCCCTGGGCAGCCCTGGTCCTCACCCTCTGCCCCCCTGCACCCCATGACCCTTCTGTTGCCTTTGCCAGGCGGCCACTACATTGCCTACTGCCAGAATGTCATCAATGGCCAGTGGTACGAGTTTGACGACCAATATGTCACCGAGGTGCACGAGACGGTGGTGCAGCACGCGGAGGCCTACGTGCTCTTCTACAGGTGGGCGGGGCGGGGGTGGGACAAGGAAGGGAGAGGGAGGGGGAGGGGCATGGGGGTAGGGAGCAGACTGGGGAGGGCTGTGGAGGGTGGGGGAGGAGAAGACCAGGGGAGAGCCGGAGGAAGGGCGAGGCGGGGGGAGGGGCGCCCCCTCACCCCATGTCCCCTGGCTGCTCATGCCACCCCCCAGGAAGAGCAGCGAGGAGGCGGTGCGTGAGCGGCAGCAGGTGGTGTCGCTGGCCGCCATGCGCGAGCCCAGCCTGTTGCGTTTCTACGTGTCCCGCGAGTGGCTGAACAAGTTTAACACCTTCGCTGAGCCGGGACCCATCACCAACCACAGCTTCCTGTGCGCGCACGGAGGTAAGGGGCTCCCCTGGGTGGGGGGAGGCTGCGGGCTCCCAAGGCCCGAGCCGATTGGGTCCATGCCGCCCTGCAGGCATCCCACCCAACAAGTACCACTACATCGACGACCTGGTGGTCATCCTGCCGCAGCCGGTGTGGGAGCACCTGTACAGCAGGTGGGGCCGCGGGCAGCTGGGCGTCAACGGGGTGGGGGGTGGGGGGGTGATGTGAGCCGTGGGTGACGGTGTCCCGCTCCCCCGCGCAGGTTCGGGGGTGGCCCCGCCGTGAACCACCTGTACGTGTGCTCCGTGTGTCAGGTGGAGATCGAGGCGCTGGCCAGGCGCAGGAAGGTGGAGATCGAAACCTTCATCAAGGTGCCGGGGGCACTGTGGGTGGGGGCGCCCAGGTAGCCGGACAGGACCCCACTGCCCCCAGGCTGGTGTTGGCTGGGTGGGCAGGGGCGAAGTCAGGACCTGTTTTCTTTTTTGTTTTAGGGGTTTTTTTTGTAGCAGGAATCGAACTCAGGACCTGCACTTGCCAGGCTGATGCTTATGTCACTGAACTATGTCCCCAGCACTGTGTATATGTGTGTGTGTGTGTGTGTGTGTGTGTGTGAGAGAGAGAGAGAGAGAGAGAGAGAGAAAGGAGAGAGGAGAGAGACAGGGTCTCGCTGTGAGGTTCAGGCCAGTCTTGAACTAAGTATGGAGCCCAGCCTGGCCTTGAACTTTCAGCATGATCCTCCTGCCTCAGGCTTCTGAGTGCAGGGATGACAGATGTACACCCACACTCTGGCCCCAGCTCTCTCTACATTTAAATTGTGAGACAAGGTCTTGCGGAATTACTGAGCTGCCCACGTTGGGTTTGAACTTTCCACCTCCTGCCTCAGCCTCCCAGAGTGCTGGGGTATCCGCCCCCACACCTAGCTTGCAGGAATTCTCTTCTCATTGGGCACTGGGGCATGGGCTAAGGAGGGCAGAGGACTTCTGGTGTGGCGTAGGGCATTCAGCTGCGGGCGGCAGTCACAGTCACGGCTCCTGCCACTGTGCCAGGTCCCCCAGGGCTGAGCCCTTGGGGAGCCACAGCTGCTGGGCTGGGGCTCTGGTCAGCTGTGTCCTCTGCACCAGCAGGGGAAATGGAAGCAGGAAACTAGGGGCTCCTACATGGTGTTGGAAGGCGAGGCCAGCGCTGCTCAGGGGAGACGGGAACCCTGAGTTGTTTAAATTAGGAGACTGAGTAAAGGACACTGGGGACCTGCTTCATGGCTATCAATAGAGTCTGGGGTAACCACTCAGTGGTCAGTGCCTCCTTTGCCTGTGGGGGCCCTGGCTTCCAGCCCCAGATCCTAGAATGCATCAGAAGCACAGAGCATGGTGGGAGCAGGTAGAAATGTGCTGGGGGGGAGGGAGAAAGTGTATCTGCCATGTGCCCCAGTTGAATTAAAAAAGCAGTCATTGAAAACAGATTTGCTGGGGGCTGGGGATTTAGCTCAGTGGCATAAGCGCCTGCCTTGCAAGCAGGCAGTCATGAGTTCGATCCCTGGTACCAATAAAAACGAAAAAGACAAAAAAAAAAAAAAAAAAAAAAAAAAAAAGAAAACAGATTTGCTGGGATGTGGTGGTGCACACCTGTAACCCCAGCACTCTGGGGGGCTGAGGCAGGAGTGTGGCAGTTTTGAGCCCCAGGGAGCTTGGCAAGACCCAAAATAAAACACAGAGAGCTGGGCATGCGGTGCAAGTTGAGGGCCCTGGTTTGGTCCCTGGTTCTGCAAGCCAGCAAGGGAAGTGTCAGGGTCAGGAGATACCTGGCCGTGCCCTGTGGACTGCCTGAGCAGGGGAGGGGCGCAGGGGAGAGACTGACCCGCCGTGCCCCGCTCCACCCCCCTGCAGCTGAACAAGGCCTTCCAGGCTGAGGAGTCCCCTGGCGTCATCTACTGCATCAGCATGCAGTGGTTCCGCGAATGGGAGGCCTTCGTCAAAAGCAAGGACAATGACAACGGTGAGTGGAAGTGCAAACTGGCCGGGGATGGGGCCTGGCTGGGGACTGGGGCGCTGTGCCCTGACCAGAAGCCCAGTCCACGCTCTGCTGACACCTGGGCCAGGCATTGTTTTCCATGCAGACCTGGTCTGCACGGAACCGCTTTGACTGTTTGCCCACACTGCTGTTGTCCATGACGGAGCCCTCCCAGGTCCCTCTCCCTCCTGTCCCAATCCCTCCTATCCTGGGGTCCCTCCTGTCCCAGGCAAAGAGCAGCAGAGCTACACTGGTGACTGGAATCCCTGTGAAGACTCCGGAGGCTGAGGCAGGGGAATCCCAAGTGAGAGGCCAGCCTGGGCAGCTGGGCCAGACTTGTCCAAGACAGTGAAAAGAGCTGGGGTGTAGCTCGGGGCAGAGCAGTGCCCAGTGCACAAAGGCCCTGAGTTCCACCCTGCAGCGCTGAAAAAAAAAAAAATTGCTGAGCCTGCCCTGGCCAGGGCTCCCCCAGAGTCCCAGGCCTGGCTGGGGACAGCGGGCTGTGTGTCCTAGCACTGGTCTCTTGGGGCTGCAGCCCTGACCCCTATTGCTGTGCTGTGCTGGGACGGGGGTGGTACGTGATGTGGGGTCACCATCCTCCCACTCGGGTGGCGCTCAGCTGAGGGGTCCCCTGCAGAGCCTCCAGGGCCCATCGACAACAGCCGGATCGCGCAGATCAAGGGTGGCAGCCACGTGCAGCTGAAGCCCGGTGAGTCCCGCATGCCCTGGGGACAGGGCGCAGGGCTGCTGCGGGAGATGGTGTCCCAGAGCCCGAGCCACCCCCTCTCGCTGCTCTGTGCCCCACTGAGCACGGTGGCCTCTGTGCCCACAGGGGCCGACTATGGGCAGATCTCCGAGGAGACCTGGGCCTACCTGAGCCACCTGTATGGTGGTGGCCCCGAGATCGCCATGCGCCAGGGCGTGCTGCAGCCCCCGGAGCCCGAGAGCCTGCACAGCGAGCAGAAGATCGAGGCCGAGACTCGCACCCTGTGACCAACTCCTCCTCCTGCATCCCTTGGCCCAGGAGCCCAGGAGCTGTGGCCCAGGAGCGGGGGGGTGGGGAGGGTCCAGCTCTGTAGTGGCTGTGGCTTAGGGTATCAACCCAGGCCTCAGTCCCAGCAGCGCACACGCAAGTCACTGGCAGTGGTGTCCTCTGCCCCACGCCTGCAGGCTCGGGCCCCTCTGTCCCTGGGGCCATGTGCTTGGAGTTCCCTCTCGGTGCTGTGAGCAGAGGCCCTGGGGGGTCTCTTCGGCCCCGCCCAGCTGCCAGCTCAATGGAGCTCCTGCCCAGTCCCACCCCCAACCCCGAGCTTGTCCCAAAGACCCCAGATGACTCCCTGAGGTTGGAACCAGAGGGACCAGAAACTGTGTCACAGCACAGTCACCTGGGTGCCACTCCCGGGACCTGGACCATGGTGTGGGGGGACCCCATGCATGTCACCCGCTGCCAGTGCAGTGTGCCCCAGATGTGTCCCTTTCTTCTTACCCGGCCTGGGACAGGGCCGCCCAGCCGTGCACCTTGCACCAGGGGACCTCAAGAGCTGCCAGGAGTGTGGGGACCACTGAGCCCGGTTTCTGGGCACAGAGAGTAGCAGCTGAGGTGCCAGGACCAGGCCCCAAACCATTGGATGTCATGGGGACCTGGGTGCAGCTACCAATGGGTTGGCAATGTCCCTGCTGCCGCTGCCTGTGCTGCCGCCCTCGCAAAGCTCTGGGCCTTGGCACCTGTCTGTGCTGTAGTTGCTGTGCGGCCCTGCCACGTGTGCAGTGTCACAATAAACACGTGTCCCCTCCACCACCACGAGTCACTGCTGCCTGCTCCGCCGCCGTCATTCCACAGGGAGACTGGGGCCAGGTCCCCAGGGGCAGCACACCGCCCCCCGCCCCACCTTCCTGGAAGCAGCAGGCAGGTCAGGGCATCCTGTCGGCTACCTCTGGGTGGAGCCAGTGTCCCCGGTGCTGCTGCACGGTTGGCTTTGCTTTTCCTTTGGAGGAGAGGAGAATCTGACTTCTGAATGTTGCTCTAGAGAGCCCTTTAGCCGGCTGTGGTGGGGCACACCTTAATCCCAGCACGTGGAAGGCTGAGGCAGGAGACAGAGACAGAGCACTGAGGTTTGTTCCCAGCCCCTAACAGCACAGTGTTCAACACAATGAAGCAGTGGATGCAGCCGCCGCCCTGGACCCTCACGTGCTGGCCGGCTGAGGCTGGGGCAGGAGTGTGAGCTGAGCCAGCCGGGCGGTACAGTGACTTAGCAAGACCCTGTCTTAAAGTTAAAAAGACAAGGAGCCTGGGCCTGGCTTAGTGGGGAGGCCTTGGGTCCCATCCCAGCACAGCAGAGACAGCAGCCCAGTACTCCTGGAGCGGGAGCCTGCCCACCCCCTGCCGGCAGCTCCACCAGTCCCACCGAGCCCACGTGTGCCTTCCGGCCTGCTTCACTTGTGGTCGGTCGGTCTGTCTGTCTGTCCTTGCCATGGGTATTGACATAAGTTTCCCAGGCCGGGCTCAAACTCTGACACTCCTGCCTCAGCCTCCCCGAGTGCTGAGACCACAGGTGTGCACCACTGCACCTGTGCAGCCCCCTTCCAGAATGTGCCACCTGGGATCCCCCAGCTCTGGGTGGTATCCACCTTGCTCCAGCCCCAGGGCTCTGTGGAGGTGGTGCCGAGGCCGCCTCAGGCTCCAAAAAGGTGGGCACCAGCCAGCTTTCAGGCCTTTGCTTGAACCCCACTTGCTGGACCGTGGGATAAGAGCTGGGTCCGAGGCCGAAAGCCTGGGGGCCAAGGTGGCAGGGCCAGGCCTCACCCCTCTGGCTCTGGCAGCACCTTGGGGGTTGTAGGGAGCCCCGCACGCAGCAGGGTGGACAGCTGGCAGCCGGCAAGGCACCCCTGCAGCTGGGACATAGGCCCCCCCCCTCTGTGCCAGGTCTTTTGTTGTTGTTGTTCTGTCCCCATGTGGCTCTGGCTGGCCTGGGACTCATGGCGATCGTCCTGCCTCAGCCTCCCAATGCTGGGATTACTGGTGGGAGTCACCAAGTCTCCACTAGCTTTGCCATGAGAGCCCTGGGGGTCCCAGGAGCTGGGCCAGCGGCCCCTCTGCAGAGCGAGGGCAGCCTTGTCCTGTAGGGGGAGCGCGTGTCTTCAGGGAACCCTGCTAGGCTTTCAGCGGCCAAGAGGGCGCCCGCAGGGTCCTGGCTCCTGGATGAGCTGCCCAGGGACAGAGGCGTGGAGAGCGGGGCCTCGGGACCTGAGTGCCCATCGCCGCCCACGCAACTCCATCCGGTCTGCAAAGCCAGCGGGACAGCAGGCCTGGCCGAGAGGCGGCCCAGGAGGGGTCCGCACCCCAGGCTCTTCCTGTCTGTCCTCAGGACGCACAGCCTCAGGGCGGCCCGTAGAATTCACCGTTTCAGGGGCTTTTTCACTTTTAAAAAGACAGAGCCGGGCGTGGTGGCGCACACCTGTAACCCCAACACTCGGGAGGCTGAGACAGGAGGATCATCTCAAGCTCCGAGTTCGAGGCCAGCCTGGGCTCTATCGTGAATTCAAGGCCACCCTGAACTGCCTAGCGAGACTCTGTTGTGATAAAAAAAGCAAGTAATTAGTAATTTTAAAAAGATGGGCTGGGGGGGGGGCTCAGTGGTGAGTGCTTGCCTAGCTCGTGTGAGGCCCTGGCTTCCAGCACTAGGGCTGTTAAAAAAAGGAAAGAGAAGAAAAGAAAAAAGCAGAGGAGGGCTGGGGGGCCGCACCCAGCCCCGCAGCCACCAGGGGCGCCAGCGCCCGCCCGCTTGCTCTCGTCCAGGCGCTGGCCTGCCCCGGCCGGAATTTCCAGTCCGACTGGAGGAACTCGTCCCGCCCGGGCAGGAGCGCCTGGCTGTCTGAAAACGAGGCTGTAGGAGCCGCGCCGGGCGCGCACCGGGCTGGGGATGGTGCAGCCAGCCAGCCCCACGTTCCAACCTGGGGGGCGCGGCGTCCCGGCCAGTGGCCGAGGCGCGGGCTCTGGGGAGGGAAGGGTCCTTAGGGAGACATCCTGACCCCTCCCGCGAACCGCCGGACTTTCAGGGACAGCTGAGGCCCCCGAGGGTGTGCCCTGATCTTTTCCCAATGAAACCCTCTAGGCCTGGTGGCCGCGCCTCTGATCCCAGAACTCAATAGGCTGAGGCAGGAATATCAACTGGAGTTCCAGCCCAGCCTGGGCTACGTAGTGACTTCAAGACCAGCCTGAACTGCTGGGGATTTAGCTCAGTGGCATAAGCGCCTGCCTTGCAAGCAGGCAGTGGCGAGTTTGATCCCCAGTACCGATAAAAAGACAAAAAAACAAAAACAAAAACAAAAAGACCAGCCTGAACTATGTAGTGAGACCTTGCCTCAAAGAAGAGGGGAGGGTTTGGCCCCCAAGCCAGATATGGTGGCATGCACTGTGCCCCCTGAAGCAGGAGGGTGTCCAGTTCGAGTCCAGCCTGAGCAATGGAGCCTGAGCCTTGGGACCTCTGATACTAATCTCGGCAGCCTTCAAGTTCTCAGTGAGGGTCTTTGGTTTTTGTTTTGAGCCAGTGACTGTATATATAGTGCAGGTGGCTTTAACTATGTAGCCGTGGCTGATCCTCCTGCCTCAGCCTCAGAGCCCTGGGTGGACAGGCCTGCGTCACCATACCTGGCTAGCTTCGGGGCTCTGGAAGCCAGTTGCAGCCCCGTGGGGGAAGAGGCCGCATGTGACCCTAGTGACCACATCCCCCTGGGCCTCAGGGCTGGGTCTGCCCCGCCTCGGTCTCACTTCCTGGATGGCTGATTTCCTGAAACAGTGGCAGGGACCCTTCTTCCCTGGAGGCTGGGACACACTTTCAACAGTCTGCTGTGGACTCCAGGCTTGCGTGTCACCGTGGTACAGGAACCAGTGAGGCCAGCATCAGGAGTCATCAGGAGACACCATGGCCCTTGTGACAGTGGGACACTGAGGAACTAGAAACAAGAACCCATTCCTCTTCCTCCCTTATGCAATGGGGGCCCCAAAAAGTGAGAGTGGCTGCCAGCTGAATTTGCATGCAGAAGAAAGATTCCCTACTCGGAAAGGACGTCATGGTGGTCACCTGTATTCCCAGTGCTCTGGGAGACTGAGGCAGGAGGCTCTCAAGTCCCAGCCCAGCCTAGAAATTTAACAAGACCCTGTCTGAAAACCAAAGAAACACAAAAATCACCTGGTAGCTCCGTGCCGAGGCCCTGGTTCAATCCGTAGTACTGGGAACAAAACAAGAACCACAAAATCCAGGAATCTCCTCAGAGGCTTGGAACGAATCAGCCTTCTAGGGGGAGAAGGGCCCACGCCTATACCAGGGTCAGTGGCCCAAGTGGAGCAGAGGCTGCCCCCAGCCCCCGGGCTTTCCATACTAGCAAAAGCCCCCAAGCTGGACGCTACACGAAGTTGGACTTTATTGGCTGTTTGGAGATTAACAGAGTTACGGGTCAGCAGGGCCCTCGGACGCAAGCGCGTACGTGGTTTGATTCCATCTCCAGAGACAGACGAGGTGGGGGCTCCAGGACTTGTGCAGGGTGACAGGCCATGGAGCTCAGGATTAGTGCAACACTCACACTTACGTGCACACGCACACACGGTGTCCAGCGCCAGGTTAGATAGCGTTTGGGTCATGACATTTCTGAGGTCACAAACACAGACGGAGCCCGTGAGGGACACTGAGGAGACGCTCGTGTTAACACCAACTGCTGGGGACCCCCTGCTGCAGGGACAGGTGTTGGGGGGCACCAGGGGCGCCTGCTGGGCCAGTCGCCAGCTGCGCACGGCCTCCCTGGGAGAGGCCTAGGACGGCTCGCCATGCCTGTGCCCTCGTTTTGCAAAGGAAAAGAGGGTAGCACGCATTCCTCTCTCGTCCTGTTTCTAAGTCATTCGCAGGGCAGGGGCTTTTCCAAGGACTCATTCTTTTCTGTTGTTTAGTGAGACAAGGTCTTCTAGGGAGCCCAGGTTGCCTCCAACTCCTGATGATCCTCCTGCCTAGGCCTCCCAGGTGCTGGCATGAAAGACGTGCGCCAAGCCAAGGTTCAGACAGGTCATTCTCACAGCACTTTAGCAGGGTGGGGAGACGGCGGGCGGGATTGTGGGAAGGAGCCTGTGGTGACAGGAATGGCCCCACAGTGGGAGTCCCCTGCCAATGATCACTCATGTCACAGCAGTGACCAGGCGGGGACAGCGTCCTCTCCCCACACTGTGGACAGAGTACCAAGGCGTGGACAGAAGACAGGACAGCAGGGAGGACAGGGGGCGGAGCGGGTCCCCCACGGTGGGTCTCAACACAGGAAGGGAGGGTGGCTGTGACAGTGGAAGGCTTGGGGGTGCAGAGCGGGACCCTGGCTCGTGGAGGAGGTGCAGCTGATGTCACAGCCAGGCAGAGCCCCACACAGGAGGAGGTGACAGAGGCCTGGCTGGCTGGATCACCCCAGGCCACTCAAGCCCACCTCTTCCCCTTGGTATTTCCGGGGTGCTGTTGCTTCTGGTGGCCCTGTTGACAGCTGCCTTGAAGGGGACCTGGTTGCCATGGGGACCGCCTCCAGAGGTGGGGCAGAGTCGTGCTGACCCACAGGACCTGCCCTCATAGTCCCCTCCGCAGCCTAGACACTCAGGGTGACACCTGGGTCCCCAGAGCCAGGCGGGGTGCACACGCTGCCTCTGCCAGGGCCTTCAGGGCCGTGCCATTCCGTGTCACTGCACCAGGTAAGGAGGGGCCACGAGGCCGGGCTTCCTCAGAGTCAGACTCAGTTTACTCCCCAAGGCCTGCGGAGCTCAAGTCCAACATGGATGCCGGGTGACTCAGGCAGGGACCCAAGAGGCGCGGGGTCTTTGGTGGAGGAGGCGTGGAAGCCCTAAATGCTACTCTCGGGGCACAGGGGCAAGAGAGGCGCCATCACTGGGCCGTGATGGTGACACTGGGTCCCGAGGCACTGACACTGGCAGGTCCCAGAGGCAAGGTGGACACAGGGGAGGCGGCCAGGCTGACACCAGCCGCAGGGTACTTCGGTGCGGGCCGGGGCTGGGGTAGGCGCCTCCAATCCCACCCCAGGTGCACCCGGGCCCAGAAAGTGCAGAAGGGGTCAGCATCAGGCCCGGACCCAGGAGAGGATGGCTGCCACTCAGCGCTCGGCCCCAGGGACGGGCGGCCCGCAGGCGTTGATGTCACCAAGGCACAGTGTGAGATGCTCGGGGCCAAGAGCATGCTGGAAGGTGGGGACACGGCTGCCTTCAGCCAGCCGGGCAGTCCAGGCACGGGCGCTGGTGGCCGGCGGAGGTGGCAGGCCGGGTGCAGGCTCCTGGGGCGGCTCTGGGTCCCATCTAGGTCCCCGCCTTTAGGAATCTACAACATAGAAGCAGAGAAAGAGGAAGTGTGTTAGACAGGGCAGCGGCAGAGGCAAGCACCCCTAAATTGGTGCCCGCCGGGAGGGTGGAGGCAGGGAGGCTTGGGTTTTTTAAAATAGAATTTGCTTATGATGGGCTAGATGAGGTAAGAAACTTTCACTGTTTTATTATTTCTGACTTAATTTTTGGGGGGGGTTGAGACAGGGCCTCGCTATGCAGTTCAGGCTGGCCTTGAACTCACAGCGATCCTTCTGCCTCAGCCTCCCGAGTGCTTTACTTGTGATCTTTAAGAGAAATTTAAATAGATGAAGTCCGCCACTCATCTTGTTTTGTTTCTCCTTACTTGGCCTGGGGACAGAACCCTGGGCCCCCTGGCGTGTGCTTTACCTCCCGGCTTCAGCCTGGGGCTCTGACTGGGGATGAGCTTTTGCATTGAGCCACATCCCCAGATCTTGTTTATTGATATTGTTTTTAGAATGTTGAGGCATCTCACTAAAGCTGGCTCAGCTGCCCAGATGGGGTTCAAACCCACAATCCTCTGTACATTAGAAAGCTGAGTGTCCCAGCGCTGAGACTCATGGCGCTCTGACAGTGAGACGTGAGGCCTTGGTGAGGGGCAGCCTGCGGCCTACAGTGAAAGTTCTTCCTCGGGGAGGAGGGGAACACAACACAGCCCGGCTCCAGGAAGGGCGAAGAGGAGGAAGAGGGGAAGGGGAGGCAGAGGTTTTAAAAAGCATATGGCCAGAAAATTTCCCATCACGATAGAACAAAGAGTTAAATACTCATATTACACAGAATAATTTTCTTGAAAAAGTGAAAAATCATTTAAGATACACAACATGGAGAAAAATATGTTTATTAGAGGCAGACAGGAGGGTACAACTAGAAGGTGCCAGACAGATTCTTTTCTTTAGGGGAAGAAGAGAAGGAACAATCACGTTAGCTGTGTGCAAACAAAACTTACTCAGAACCCAAGTGTCTATAACACACCCCAGGGTGGAGTGGCCAGCTGGGGTTCTAGCTGCAGTGCAAGAGTCCTGGGCTGCCCCAGCAGTTACAAAAACAAAAAGGTTGTTAGGTGGCAGAATCATCCGCAAAACAAACAGATAAAAGAAGAAAACGGTAAACAACTGCTTCATGTCATCCTTCTAGCTTTTAAATTGCAGTATATACAAATACACTCTGTGGAGAGAATTACAGATGCATTTAACAGAAAGCAACTTAAAAAAAAAAACTCACATGAATAAAACCCATAGAAGTCACAATGCAGGGGACCAATCAGACATTACTTCTGAGTATTTTGGCAATTATTAAATAGCACATCGGAGACAACACACACACACAAGGTGCCCCGGCAGGATTAAAATGACTGAATCCAAAACCAGCAACCCGCCCCAGGCTGACCCGGCCAAGGGTGCACAGGCGGGGGGTGGGGGGGGTGCACCTAGGTCCTCAGCATGAACACGGAAAAGGAGACTTCAGAGACAGCTGTGAGCTTGCTTGTTTTCTTTTCTTTTTTTTTTTTCAGTACCGGGGATCGAACTCATGACTGCGCGCTTGCAAGGCAGGCGCTGATGCCGCTGAGCTGAATCCCCGGGCCCTCTTGTTTTGTTTTTGAAACAGGGCCTCACTATATAGTTCAGGATGGCCTTGAACTCACTCGATTCTCCTGCCTCAGCTCCCCGAGTGCCGGGATGCCGGGTGTGCACCAGCGTCCTGGCTGATTTTGCTTCCTATATTTTAATAGCAAGGCTGGAAGGAGACGCAGTGCTCCTCAGCGGGGGTGGGGGACCCCGGCTCTTTGGCGATGGCTCCCGCATTCCCTAGCGCTTCCCTTCACTCAGAGGGAACTGAAGGCTGAAGAATCTTTGGGGGGCCGCAGGGAGATGGAGCTGATGAACCTCTGCAGGGCCTGGGGGGCTTCACGCCAGTTTAAGATCAGCATCTGAGATTTCCATGCCCACAGCGTCACACCCTTTGTCTAGCGAGCAGTGCAACTGTTTCCAAAGATTTGTATAACTCTGAGGGCAAAAGCCACGTAAAGCCGTGGGCAGGCTTCCCAAAGGCGAAGCTCCGGCTGAGACCAGCTCAGGGGCGAGGACCGAAGGAAAAAAGGTCAAGTCGCCCGATTCTCTCAGGCTCGCTCAGGGCTGCTGGCTTCTCCCGCTAGCTCGGGGTCTGACTGGGGATTCGGCACCAGGAAGCAGGGCAGGGTGTTCTGTTTGGGGTCCAGTGAGCCCCGTTACCCAACAGACCCCCGCAGGGCTCTGCTAACTTCCCAGCTGCCAGATCAGCAGCCCGAGAAATGACACTATTTTGGGCCCTTGTGGTTCTAGGATTCAACCCAGGGCTTTATGCACATGAGGTGAGCGCCCACCACTGGGCTACACAGCCACAGCCACTGTAGCATCTTCCTAGAAAGCAGACTGCAATGGCCCCGAGGGAAACAGTGGCCAGGTTGGCAAAGGCATTCAAAGGAAATGTGGAAGCCGGGCATGCTAGTGGATTCCTAGGATGCGGCCATTTGGGAGGGTGAGGTGGGAAGGTCTTAAATTTGAGCCCAGCTCGGACAACTTAGTAATTTAGTGAGACCTTGTCTGAAAATCTAAAGGGCTAGGATGCAGCTCAGTGCAAAGGCCCTGGGTTAATCTCCAGTACAAAGCAAACAAACAAATCCCAAAACCCAAAAACCAAGTATATAAGGTCAACACGTATATTTCAGGCCGGCTGGTGCCCGCTTCCCGTTCCTCTGGGGTCAGTTTCACACCAAGCAGCCCAGGCTGACCCTGGCTCCCAAAGTCCCGCGTCACAAGGGTGCCCCGCGCCTGGTCAGGGCTTGCACAGGGCTTGCACTGAGTGCCTGGTGCGCTCACCCCGCCCTCCCCGGAATTGCCTGGCATCTGCTACCTTTCAGAATGAAATGCCTCTCAGACTCAGGGTGGCAGAGGGCCCTCGGTCCCATCTTGTGGCCCTCAAGACACAGACGCACAATCTCAACTGAAATCTTGACACAGAGCAGTCCCTGCCCGTGACCCCTGCCTGCTTTAAGAACTAGACAAACAGCTGGGCATGGTGGTGCTACAAAGCGAGCTCAAGGCCAGCCTGAGCTGCACAGAGATACCTTGGCTCAAAAAGACACACACAAAAAAAGACAAAGACAGCCGGACACACAGCTCTTGTTTTTTTTTTTCTGACATAGTTTCACTATGTAATTCAGGCTGGCCCTGAACTCTCGGCAATCTTCCTGCCTCAGCCTCCTGAGCGCTAGGACTAACCTCTCGGTTTTACATTCCACCTTAGAGCTGGGGGAGCAGCCAGTGGTGCGGCATCTGTGTGCATGAGGCTCTGGGTTCCACCCCCAACACCACATTAAAAAAAGAAGAATCAGCTTTCGGTTGACTTCAGCGCGACATGAGTGGAGGCTGATTTCTTGCTCAAAGGCTGGAGAAACACCGATACCCTGGAGTCACACGAAAAGAGGGCCTGACGCAACGAGGTCACCCCTATCCACAGAAGGCAGCCGCTTGCCCGTATGGGGCGGGGCCCTGCATAGGGACCCCGAGATGGGCTCGGGGGCACCCTCTCAGGTGTCCACATCACCACCTCATGTCCCTCCTCCTCAGTGCCAACTTAAAAACGCAAATCCCATTCCGCCCAGCCCCCTTCAAAGCAGTGAGACATCTGGTTTATTCTGGCCATGGGTAATCACGGAAGATGAGCCATATGGGCTGGGGATGTAGCTGAGAGGCAGAGCACCTGCCTGGCAAGTGCAAGGTCCTGAGTTCGAATCCCAGTACCCAAAAAAAAAAAAAAAAAGATGAGCCAGAAATTCTATCACAATTTCCAATAATTTTAATCGCTGGGTGTTAAAGGTGCCCATGATTTAAAAAAACAAAACAAACCAAGAAAACACGGAGAAAAAGCTCCTCCGACACAGGGCTCGCTAAGTTGCCCAGACTGTTCTTCAGCGTGCAGTCTTCCTGCCTCAGCCTCCTGAGCAGCTGCCATGCCCGATTTCAACTGACTGCTTGACCACACTGTCCCAGACGTCCTCTGGTTGCTGGGGCCCACAGGGACACAAGAGGGCAGGAAGTGGACGGCAGTGAGAACACGCGGCCAGGGAGGAGTTCGGCCCTTCCTTCCTCAGGCTGGGGTGGCGGCTCTGGCCACAGCCACCTCCTAGCCAAGGCCCAAGAGCTCAGCAGGGGCATGCTCCGGTTTAGGGGGACACGGAGAGGGGACCCCTGTGGGGGCTGGGGCGTCTCTGCCTCTTGCCAGGAGCTGAGAGGCAGCTCACATGTTAGCTACAGGCGCTGCCGCTGTTGCGTGTCGGGCTGTGAGGGCCACAGCTGTCCGCATGTGTCCCGCCAGCCAGGGCCACCTGCAGGCCCGGCCCGTCCTCCGGCCTCTGCCGGGAGCTGCCTGGCCGCTCGTGGGCTTGTCGGGGTGTGGGAAGCGATATTAAATATAAGTCTTAGCACCTTTGGTGTTTCTGTCCAAATAGACCTCGACGTACGAGGTAGGCACGTAGCCCTCCTCATCCTCGCCCCTGCGGATGCGGGTCCAGCCGTCCCCCTTGTCCTCCTCGATGACGTACAGCGTCTCTCCCTCGGCCACCGAGATGGTGCCTTCGTTCTGACCTGCGGTGACAATAGCAGAAGATGTCACATTGCCACTGGCAGCCGGGGTCGCGGGGGCCTGTGCCTGTCAGCCCAGCACTTGGGAGGCTGAGGCAGGAGGACCGCTGCGAGTTCAAGGCCTGCCTGGGCTACACAGCCAGACCCATCTCCACATACAACAAAAGCCTGGGGAGGCAGCTCGGTGCAGAGGCCCTGGGGCCCAGCCCCAGTGCGGCAAAAGCCAAAGTTGAAGCCCACGCCAGTGACGTTCACGTCTCCCGGGGCTCTGCCAGCTAGGCACCACCTGCCTGTATTTCTTTTCCTGCCTACTGTTTTTTGAGCAGATCTCAACTCTGTAGCCCATGGCAGACTCAAACTCCAGGCGACTCTCCTGGCTCAGCCTCCTGGGTGCCGGGGCTGACCGGTGGGCGTCACCATGACCAGCTTGAGTACTTTCAATAGCTCCTCGGTGCTGGGCGATTACAACCCAAAGGCTCCTCTTCCTCCTCCGATGGCACCAGACCTGGGTGACCTAAGATCCCCCCTGGAACCTGCAGTCTGGCCACGCCCCCTTCATTCTGCAGCAGCTTGAGTCTGGGGTGTCACTGTGCCTCAGTCCTGGCAGCCCTTGGGGCCCCTCTGCAGCCCACCTGGCTCTGCCCCCAGCTGCTCCATGTCTGGCAGGGCACAGCAGAGCGGCCCCAGGGCTGCCCACCTTCGAATGCGTAGAGGGCCTTGCAGGTCCCAAGGGCAGGCAGTGGCTCCTCGTCATCGAACTCATCGTCGAAGTCCGCGGCCAACACCTTGAGCTCGCTCTCCTGGCTCCGCTCCTCCGTGTAGCTGCCATCCGGGCTGCTCAAGACAGGACGACAGGGGCCACTATAGCGCCGGCCGCCCTGCCCTGGGCCCTTCCCTCCTGTCTCTGGAGTCCCTCACTCTGTTCTGTCACTTATTTCCTTCTGGCCGCATCCAGTTTTCTGGCTCTGATTTGCTTCACCTAATGTTGTGGTGTCCCCTGCTGAGGACTCAGTTGGTTCTTTACAGCAGGGCAGTACTCTGCGTGTGCAGACAGCACAGTGTTTTTCCCTCGGTCTTTTTGAGAGGGTCTCCCCGTGCAGTTCAGGTGGCCTTGAGCTCACATTGTAGCCCAGGCTGTTCTTGAACGTGCAACAATCCTCCTGCCTCGGCCTTCCGAGTGCTGGGATGACAGGTGTGCGCCACCCCACCCGGAAGAGCAGTCTTCACCTGCCGATAGGCACACAGGCCCCCCTAGGTGTAGCCCCAGGAGCTGTAGCTCCCTGTGACTCTGTCAGGAAGGTTCCCATGGGGCAGCAGCTGAGAGTCTGAGGAATCGACACACTGATTTCCGCAGTGGCTGCACTGGTTACCCACAGGTTGGCCGTTCCTCCGAGGAGGTCACCCAGCCTCTCCCTCGGGGAGCGTACAGGGAAGGGGATGGGGCCTGGTGGGAACCGTACCTCTCTCGGTCCTGGGCGCAGTTGTGCACGGCCGGCGGCTGCTGGCTCTCAAACATCCCGCTCTGCCTGCGCACCTGGTCACCTCGCCCAGGCAGGCGGCCCTCGACCTCAGCCAGCCAGGCCTGGGGACAGAAGCGAACTCACACCGAAGCCCTGAGGCTGGACACCCATCCTGAAACCCCACACCTGGGGTACTGGGTGGTCACAGAGAGGCAAGGACAGGCGACAGAGACAGTGGACAGCCCAGGGGGCCGAGGCCACTGTGTTCCCTCCCCACGTTGGACAGTGACAGAGCCCATGGCCACCATGAGAGGGGAGCCCTGTGCTGTGTGGCACCCAAGCTGCAGGTGGCTGATTGGCCAGAGGTGAGCCACTTCCAGTTCCCAATTCCGTGACCAGGAAGTCACCTGGGAAACCCGAGGGCCCTGCTCCTGTCCCCCTCTCTTCCTTGGTGGTACTGGGGGTCATGCCCAGGACCCCGGTACTAAGCCCACCTTTGCTAAGGCTGTAAAATTTTTTTTGTCTTTTTCTTTTTTATCGGTACCAGGGATCAAACTCACGACTGCCTGCTTGCAAGGCAGGCGCTTATGCCACTGAGCTAAATCCCCACCCCAAAGCTGTAAAATCTTGAGACTGGGTCCTCAGTCACTGAGTTGGCGAGGCTGGGCTAACAGGTGTGCTCCACCACATGGCTCTCTCTTCCAGTGAAGGAGCCATGAGGTTCTCCCCAGGGTGCTCCGGGATGACACCCCCCTTGCTGCCTTTATTCCCCAAGACACCACCACAGCCCCATACCTCAAATTTCTGCGCCTCAAGCCGCAGCCTCTCTGTGTTCTGGGTGACCTCTGCGAGCTTGTGGTCCAGGCTGGCCGGGTCACCCATCTGAGGGTTCTTCAGGTAGACGTCCTTCATCTTGGTTATGGCATCCCTGCACGGGACGGGCAAGGATGAGGGTGGGAGTCGGGCCAGTTTCTCTCATGACACCAGGCATGGTCGTCCCAGCACTCAGGAGGCTGAGGCAGGAGGGTCACCACGAGTTCAAGGCCAGCCTGGGCTACCCCAAAATCAAAATACAACAAGCTTTGTTTGTGAAAAATACTATTCATTAAGGCCGGGCATGGTGGCTCACGCCTGTAATCTCAGCACTCGGGAGGCTGAGGCAGGAGGATTGTTGTGAGTTCGAGACCAGCCTGGGCTACAAAGTAAGCTCACGGTCAGTCTGAACTGCATAGTGAGACCCTGTCTCAAGACAAAGAAAAAAAAATACTATTCATTCACACTGAGAACCTGGGATGGAGGTGCGCAAGGGGAGCCCTTGCTCAGTGGGTGTAAGTGTAAGCATACGTGTGTGTGTGTGTGTGTGTGTGTGTGTGTGTGTGTGTGTGTGTGTTATGCCTGATACACTGTGGCAACCTCAGAAGTTTGGAAGTTTAACTCAGAGACTCCACAGGGAGCCAGGCTCTGTGTAAACATCGTCGCCTGTGCAAGCCGAGGTGCAGGGGCGGAGGGCGCTGCACGTGCGCGGGTGGTGGGACCCTGAGGGAGAAGATCTCCCCTGCCTTGGCTGCTTGTGCGGTCCTCTGCCCTGCGCCACCTGATGCTGGACTGAAACCTCCACAACCTGTGAGCTTAAAAACCTTCCCTTCCTGCATTTTGGGTGCCAGGTATTTTGTCCCAGCAACCAGACAAAAGTAACCAAGGCAGTGTGTGGGTGTGTGAGTGTGCCTGTGTGTGCGTGACCCCACCGAGCCTCCAGTGAGCGCAAGAGCCACCGTGCTGCGTGGCACCTGCTGCCAGCAGTCCTCACGGGCTCCCAAGCTGCCGGAGCCGCCCCCGCCCCCACCGGCCCTGTGCCCACCTCTGGTCCATCTCCTTCTGGATCTCCCTGCTGAGCTCGTCCACTCTCTGCTGCAGTCTCTTCCTCCTCTGCTCAGGTGGGAGGTTGCTGAAGTCCTCAGGTGTGGCCCCCTGCAGACACCAGCAGCAGTGGGTTTGCGGACGGCACATGGCCAGGGGTCAGGGGCAGATCAACGCATGCAGAGTCCAGTGCGGCCACCGCCACCAGGAAGGAGAGAGGGAAGCCACACACTGATGCCCAGGGAGCCCGGCAGCACTGAGGTCCCCATCCCCAGTCTGTGTATCCTCCGTGGACAGAGTCTCCTCCCTCAGTGACTCTGCAGCCAGACCTCTGTTTTCTGGTTTTTCTTTTCTGAGGCAGAGTCTCACTGGGGAGCCCAAGCTGGCCTTTAACTCACAGCGATCCTCCTGCCTCAGCCTCCTGAGAGCTGGGATCACAGGTGTGCAGCCCCACACCTGGCTGAAACGGATTTTGTTTCTACTCTGAGTACTCCTTTCTTTCCCTTCACACAGGGCGGGCCTTAAGTTTGCATTCCCGGACAGTGACACATGGGACCTGGTATTCCTCAGGGAACATGGGTGAAGAGGACATAGGAAAAAACCCCTCCTCTCTTCCCTGTGCCCAGGGCTCTACCCTCTCCTGCCCGTAGTCTGGCTTCTGCTTTTGGGAACCTTGAGGCTGTCTCAGAGCAGTGCCATCAAAAATGTATGAGGTGTCACATGCCTGTTATCCCAGAGCTCAGGAGGCTGAGGCAGGAGGATCACTAGAGGTTTGAGGCCAGTTTCGGCTACACAGTAAATTCGAAGCCAGCCTGAATTACATATCAAGCAAGACCCCTTTCCAAAAAACAAACCCAGAACAGTCTGTTTTGGTTTTTTAAGCCTATTCTGACGATGGCTTCTCAAAACCAACTGCCGGGCTTCCTCTGTGCTGGGCTCCCCACAGCAAACATTCTCTGCCAGGAGCCCCAGTTTGGACAGTGCAGCCCAGCCATGCTAGGCGCCTTTGGGAAGAAAACCTACTCACAGCCAAGGGTAAGCCGGGAACTTAAAGATTTTCTTTGAAAACTTTAATTCTTTTAAAACAAGGGCAAGTCTGGCCCGGGGCGGGCCCAGGCCATGGGGTCCGGAAGGGGCTGCCCCTGACCAGCGGCTTCCAGGGCTCCTGACTCGGGTCGCGGCTGGCAAGCGGGACTCGGGAGGCTGGAATGCGGGGTCAGTGGTGTCACTGGAAAGGCTGCAGGGCTCCGGCTCTGAGTGCAGCCTGGAGGCAGGCAGTGCCGTGGGGGTGGGTGCTAGTGTGCGAAGAGATGAGATTTGAGTGAAACCAGAGAGGAAGTGACAGTTTGCAAGGAGTCTGGTCTCCCAGATGGCTGAGGAGCAAGGGTCACCCGGATACAGGAGAGGACGGGCCCTTCCTCTCCAAACAGCTCGGGGCGGGACGTCTGAAGCTGTAATCACTGTGTTGTCACCGAGTATAATTATCGTCTGGTTCAATGTAAATTCTGAGCTGAGGAGAAAAGGCTTTGTGTTCACACTGGAAATGACTTAAAAGCACATCAGCATGTTTTCCAGAATGGGGATTCTTGGGATTTCAAAAGCTGGAGTGTGCTGGCGTGGTGGCATACACCAGTCATCCCAGCCCTTGGGAGGCTGAGGCAAGAGGATCGCTGTGAGTTCAAGGCCAGCCTGAGCCACACAGACAATTCAAGGCCAGTCTGGACAACACAGTGAAACCCTGCCTCAAAACAAAACTAAACAAAACAAGTCAGTAGGCAGTGCCAAGCTAATCCACCCTCCTGCCTCAGCCTCCTGTGTGCTGGGATGACCAGCGTGCGCCACCATGCCCGGCTGTCTACACACGGACTGGGCCATCAGCAGGACAGGGTGTACACTGCTCTGCTCTTGCTTCCAATCCGACTACCAGAGTCACTGCTGTCCCTCACTTGAGGATCCTGGTGGCTGTGGCCTCGAGGTGATGGGTCAGGGGTTACGCTGGTTAAGGTTTCTCTTCGTACGCGTGACAATTAGTTTGGCCTTTTACTAGCGCTACCCAGTGAAGCAGAGGCAAGAGAGGAAGGAGTAGCAAATGCTCAGGAGGCCGGGGAGGGTCCTCAACGTCCCTGCAACCACCGGGCCGCGTCCCAGGGCATCCCAGGGCGCTCTGCTCCGGCGCCTAGGCTCGCTGTGACCCCCCAGGCCTCCATGTCCTTTCTGTGGCTCCCAGAGAAGAGCATTTCCCAACAACTTCCTTTACTTTTTTAAAAAATCTTTTTATTTTTGAGACAGGCTCTCTCTGTGGAGTTCAGGCTGGTCTTACACTCATTTTGTAGCCCAGGCTGGCCTCAGATTCCCACTGCTCCTCCTGCCTCAGCCTCCTGAGTGCTAGGGTTACAGACGTGCACAACTATGCCTGGTTTCACATTTGCTTTATTCAAAATGATCCCACAAGTTCCATCTCCCATTTCTGATTTGTGTGTTCCAATTTACAGATAGCTCAGCACCATCTGCACCCACTTTTCTCTCTCTCTCTCTCTCTTTTTTTTTTTAAGACAGGATCTCGCAAAAAAAAAAAAAAAAAAAAAAAGACAGGGTCTCGCTGTGTAGCCCAGGGTGGCCTTGAACTCCCATCGATCCTCCTGCCTTCCCCTGCCTCAGCCTCCCGGGTACGGGGATTACAGGCCTGCGCCACCACGTAGCCTCTCCTCCTGAGGTCCCACAATAAAAGACAACCAGGCCCCGTTAAGCGTTAATCAGAAGGGTTAGGGCAATCTATTCAATGCAGGTCACCTGCACCCACGGTCTAGCAGACACCAACGCCAGCCCCAGGACAGGAGACCCGCGCGGTTAATCGGGAAGACAGGCAAGGGGTGGCCGTGCAGCAGCCACAGGGCTGCAGCCGATTAGGTTGGGGCATGCATGGGCGTCGTGCTTACCAGCTTGAGAGAGAGCTTCGGTAAAAACGCAAGCGGAACAGGAGAGAGGGAGCCAGAGGCGGGAGAGAAAGATAAAAACTCATCAGACGCAGGGGATGCGGCCCGGGTCGCAGCGCTCACACACCTCATAGCTCAGCTGGATGGGGGCCTGGGCGGATCTGTGCAGAAGTCCCCACGAGGGCGACCCTGCGGCGGGGGTGCTCAGGCCATCGCGGGCCAGCGCTATGGCTGGCTTTCTAGATGGGTTCGCAGTCTCAGGGTCACCAGGTCTCTCCCAGCAGGTTTCACACCAACACCAGCCACTAATCCACCCGCAAGTGGTGTTTTATCTCGAGGGGCTCTAGGGCACGGGAACCCTGGAGCTTCGCTGAGGTCTCCGAAGTTGCTGAGGGGATAAGTGAGGCCTAGAAGTCGCTCTTAAGAATCAGTCTAACCAGGTGTGCTACATGCCTGGAATCCCAGCACTCTGGGAGGCGGAGGCAGGATCACAAGTTTGAGCCAGGCCTGGCTAACACAGTGAGTTAGTGAGCCTCTCTCAAAATGAACAGATAGAAAGCCCTGGGGACAGCTCTGTGCGAAGGCCCCGGGTCCCCCTCCAGAACCACACAGTGGGGTCCCAGGGTATCTCAGGCAGCTCTTGGTCTCCAATCCCTGGCCCTGGGCAGGCACAGATCCAGAGAACCATGGGGGCAGCTGCTCTGGAAAGTCACCTTTAGGGAACGGGCACCCAGCTGTCACCCACAGGGCTGGGAAGGTCTGGACTCATGGACAGGGACAGCAGCCTGCAGGAGGAGACACAGTGCCCAGGGTGGTGATGCTTGGCATTCACCCAGCAGCTGCTGGTCCCAGGCTGGTTCTGGGATCCAGACACCAAAGAAAGTGCCTGTGGCTTATTTTATTTTTTTTTTTTGAGACAGGGTAGCAATAGTGGAATGTAGCCCAGGCTGGCCTTGAACTCGTGGTGATGCTCCTGCCTCAGCCTCCTGGGAGCTGGGACGACAGGTGTGCACCCCACACAGGTCGGGTGTTAAGTAAGGGGTTTCTCTTAGCTTACGTTTCAGCACTGCTACCTTTTAAAGGAGCTGCCCCTGTGGACAGCACAGGGTGGCAGCTGGCAGCTTTCTGGGTGAGGCACAGGGAGGCACCAGGGTGCCAGCTCTGTCTCACCTGACCTGAGCCTCCTGGGCACCTGGGCACAGATCCGCCTGTCACAGGCACAGACGACACGGAGGCAGCAGGACACAACCCCCACCTCACCCCCCCCCCAAGCAGCCCGCAGCGCCCCCCACCGGCCGCGATGGCCCCCGAGGCACTGGGATGACAGATTCCTTTTACTCTTGACCTCAGCCAGAAGGCCGGGACGCAGTCTGGATTCTTTCTAAAGTGCTCTGAGAAACCAATTTCTAGCGTCCAAACTGCAGCATGGGAAGATGCCTAGTTCGTAATAAAAGTGAATTCTTAGGGTCAAATATTAACCCCATAAACACAGGAGATACTGACAGCCCAGACTCCGCCCTCTGGAGGAGCCGGTGAGGACCCTCTGAAAAGCATCATTTGGTACAAAGCCCTGCTCTCCTGCTTTGCTTTCAGACAGGGCTGGGTATGCAGCCAAGGCTGGCCTCAAATTTGCGGCAATGCTCCTGCCTCAGTCTCCCGAGGGCTGGGATCACAGGTGTGCGCCACCACGCAGGGCTCGGTGAGTTCTTTCTGAAGATTATAAACTGGTTCTTGGTCTGACGCCATAGCCAACCAATTAAGATAACTTGAGAATAGGAAGCGACTCATAGGCCAGGAGAATAATCATGAGGCTTCATGACGTGCCCTGCCGGAAGCTGAACAACCGGAAGCTGTCAGTTTCAGGCAACAAGCCTCAGCCGGAAGCGGCAATAACACACGCGAGCCACGTGCAGCGGCGGCCTGTGATTGCAGTCACCTCGCGTGCAGAGAAAGGGGACACCGGCCAGGCTCACTTCACTCCTCTCAGGCTCCAGGGCACAACCCTCCCGATCCACGTGGCACCAAAGTAGGTCACTACTGTTGCCTGCAGAGCACTGTATCCGCTGGTGAAATTCTGCTGCTAGATGGCGCCCGGTGACATCTCGGCGATGTCACACCCCCTCTAGAGTCTCCAGAACCAGAATAAGGAGGCGGAGAGGCCTGCAAAAACCACCTCCGCCTCCCGCTGTGCTAGGATTCGGGAGGATTATGGTGCAGCCTGGGCTCCTTGGCTGTCCAAGTTTTCCCCAGGAAGTGGTCACAGAGTTTGTTCTGTTTGTTTTTGTTTTGTTTTATGTAGTGCAGGCTGGCTTCAAACTCGGGGCAGTCCTCCTGCATCAGCCTCCCAGAGAGCTCCGGGAGACCACTGAGTGGATTCAGAGGGTGAGAGTTCCCTGGGATCCAGGACTCTCAACTGAGCACGCCACCTGGCGGTATGGAGGTGCTACGGCCGCGCGGGGTCCCCAGTCTGGGCGCAGGCCAGGGTGGTTAGAGGCTGTGCCGTGACTGTGCCAGCTGCGATACGGGCTGGGCAGGGAGACACTTACAACGTAGGCCCTGGCCTCAAAGGCATAGGTGGGCTTCCCTAGCGTCCTCTTCATGAGCTCTTTGTGAAAACTGTGAGACTGAGTCTGCCGATAACCAGGGAGAGAACAAGGTCAAACAAACATAAAGGGAGACAACCCTGAGCCTGGTCCCCAACTGACAGCTGGCAGGGAGTCCCAGCTACTGTCAAGCTGCATGGTGTCTCTGCATACCAACCCTGAAATATGGTAGGGACCATATTTTAGATGCAGGAGTCCCTCCCATGGGTTTAAGACAATAGCAGTGCATTTCAGGAATGCAAATTGAGGGCGTCTATTCAGTTTCATTCTTTGATTTTTTTCAAGGTTTCCCCATGTAGCAGAGGCTGGCCTTGACGTTTGAGATCCTCCCACCTCACCCTCCAGAGTACTGGGATTATAAGCCTGTGCCACCATGCCCAGCTCTCCTGCTTATTTGGGAAAAAAAATCAATTGTGCTAAGATGTTTGATAGGATTTCCACTCAGATAACTAAAACAAATGAAATCTGAACCTGAAAGCTGCAAGCACAATAAATCAGAAGACCCAGTATGAGAGTTGTTATTCTCCTGGGATATTTTTCTAACTAAATTATCTTCGGCATAACAGTCTCAAGTGAAAATGAAAAATGAAATTATAACAAAAACTGCAATGGGGCTGAGGGTATGGCTCAGCGGCAAAGTGCCTGCCTGGCCGCACAAGGTTATGAGTTCGATTCCTGGTACTAATCTCCCCTCCAAAAAACTGTGCATCATTTCAGCCTCATAGCCAAGCAGCTTCTACTCTGAGATTAAAATCAAATGTTTTTGCTAAAATTTAATTTCAGTTTCAGTTTTTGAAAGTTTCAGTTTTTGAAACAATTTTCTTAGTAGTTCCTTTTTTCCCCCTCCTCCTGAGATAGGGTCCAGGCTGGCCTTGAACTCAGGGCATCTTCCTGCCTCAGCCTCTGGGTGCCGGAATCACAGGCCTTTAACACCACACCAGCTTCCTTTTTATTTTTGTTTCGTTTCCTCTTTTCTTTTTGCACTGTTTCTCCTAGAGAAGAAACATCAGACCTAACTCTTCAAACAGACTGACCAAAAACGAGGGAAGCAAACTATTTCTCTACTCACGACTAAGTTTCTAACGTGTACATGTGTGTGCTCTGCCCTCAGGAAAACACACTAATTATTCAGGACATCTTTGTTAAAACAGAAATTCGCTGAGCACAGATTTGAAGAATAAAAAAAAAAACTCATTTTGCTGATGGAAAAAGAGGATTCTCCTTTAAAGTTATCAAAATATCTCATCTGTCATTTCATTTTTAAGTATTAGTTTTTTCTCGACATTTGCCTTACACGTATTGAATACTGATGTTCTTTGCTCTTTTCCTAAACATTTAGGGAATACCATGAAACACAGATTCCCAAACAATTTACAACCACCAAACTGTGGTCTGCACAGAAGCGTGGACCTGACACACACACGAGTGTCCCACATACATCATGCAAGTACCAAAGACACTTGTAGATTCATTTTGCACAGATATCTCAGAAGAAAACTTGGCAGAGGACTGGCAGTGATGTTTGCTGGCTCACAGCTAATACAACGCTGCATAGCTGAGCTTGCCCTGGTCGGGTGTTGGAAATTCTCTGATGAAGGAGTGGACTTCTAAAAGCCAGCATAATCAAGTCAGGAAGCTGCAGATTCCTCAGCCAGGCCTTATAATAGAGCTCAGCACAATCCATCACCCCCTTGTGAACCTGGATTCTGCCTTCTAACAGTGGCTTTCTGGACGTCTTTAGGAAACTACATTTCCAATTGTTAACCTGGTGTGCTGGGTGGCCTTAAAACGAGATAATTCCCCAAAAGTAGTCCTTGCATAAAACTTAAGATTCTCTTCAAAAGGAATTGTGCTGATGAAGAAATGTTTCTGTCCTTTATTTTAATGGGTAGTGTCCCAGTTATCAGGGATCCATATGACCTTGTTTTAGGGCTGGAGAACTTTTTGCAGACTTGGGGGAAGGGAATAGGGTTAACAATACCTAATGTTACTTCCTGGAGAACTGCATGTATGTAACTCTCCCAGGACAGAATAAACAATGAACGGCACCCTACCAGACATGTCAGTGGTCTAAACTATCTGTTCAGAGACTGCTCACCACGTAAGATTTCCACTTTAAAGCTATTCGGGGAGTCTTGGAGCACAGCCACCAGGTGGCTGTATTCTGAGTTGCTCCATTCAATTTTTTTTCCTCTAAGGTAGACTCCATCTACACTGCAGGACGTGCTTGGAGCCCAGGACTCACAAAATCTCCACTACAGAGTCACCCAGACTCGGCCTAATCGGATCCGGACAGATCACCTGGAGGGAGCCAGGGCTGTGTGCAGCACCTCGGACTCCACAAGCTCAGCCTGCGCTTCCCATCCTGCACCAATACCGCCAACTTCAGCTTTTCTGCTCCATTTTCTTTCGCAGTAAATATGGAGAAGTCAGGAAGTGGGCTCCAGGGGTGACGGTCAGAAGCCACAGAACTCAGCCCTGAGAAAGCTCCTGGTAGACAGCAGTGCTGCTGCATGTCACCCCTGGAATCCAGAATCCAGAATCCAGGCTGCTGGTCCTGACCGCTACAGCGCGGGACTCCTGGCCTGGAACCTGTGAATCTGCATTCTGAGATCCTGGGGGAGGAGCCCAAACCTACACACGGAGTTCACTTCCACTCCCCGTGCGCATTCTGCACAGCCTGAAGAGACCCACACATGGGCACTGTAGTGTGCCTGCTTATGAGTCCTGAAGCCTCACGCATGCCAGTCAAATATGTTACCACTGGGCTCCTCCCCCAGGCCCTCTGTCTGTGGTTTTGTTGATCTGGCTTTTTGAGGCCGGGTCTTACTGTGTGGTTCAGGCTGGCCTGATCTTACTATGTAGCACGTGAAGGCTTGGAACTCACAGTGCTCCTCCTGCCTCAGCCCCCAGGTGCTGGGATGAAGGCGGAGTCTGTGTTTTGCCTGTGACCTGTCTCCTGAGCTCAGCAGTGGACCTGTTCACCCGAGGTGCTGTGCTGGTGGATGCCAGGGCCTTTCAGGTTTCTGATTTCCGCACTACGGCTGCTTGCCCTGCCCAGGCATGGGCTCCTGCAGGCTAAGGCACACTTTATCAGTATCCTGGGGCCTCATGAAAGTAGCTATCGAAAGCCTCTCTGATGGGCCAGTTCCCCTCCGAGCCGGGGCAGCTCCTGGAGAAGCTTGGAAATTAGTAAGCAAATCTCTCCTGACTCTGCAGCCCCTCCCAGTTCCTCATCCCACACTGAGTTTTAGAAACCGAATCTGCATTTTCTTTTTGATGAAATCAAGGTGAAAACTTAGATGCTTTACAGGGGAAGTAAAGAGGAGCCCTTTCCACACACGAACCAGGGTCAAAAGCAGCCCTTTCCTTCCAGCCCACCCTGGTTCCTTCTCTTCTTCCTGAGGCAGGGTCCTGCTGTGTAGCCCAGGCTGGCTGCAACCCGCCTGCCGGATGACAGGTGTGGGCACCTGGCCCGGCTCTTTCCCCCTTCCTCCTCTTTTTCTTTCCCACTGTAATGAATCTTAGGTTTTCTTTCCTTTTCCTTTCTTTCCGACGTCACAGGAAGACACAGTGGATTCACGCACAAACAAAGCCAGTCAAGCAGAGTGGGAAGGGCTGACGCGTGCGCAGAGACGGGCCGGGCCGGAGCAGCACTTACCCCACGCTTTAGGCTCCTGAAGCAGTGCATTTTGGGTTTGGAGGTCATGAACTCGTTGAAGCGATGGGAGAGGGGCTCCTTTGGCTGCTTGGGAGACTGAGGGCCGTTGGGAACAGCAGAGGGTGAGGCAGAGGTGGGGGGCGGAGGGGGGGGCTGATGGGGGGACGTTAAAAGGGACATAAGCTACATGTGAGATGAGCGGTGACAGAGTAAACCAGAAACAAGAAGACACAAAACAAAAATAAGCATCAAATCATATTGGAAATCCAGAGCAAGTCAAACACAAACCATCCGATACTCAGGCCAGGGTCCGGGGAGGGGGAGCGCGCTGCAATGGCGGATGGGACGCGGGGAGGGGAGGGTTAGCGAGTGTGGCGACAGAGGAGGCCTCATGCGATGTCCACAAGCCAACTACAGCTCCGTTAGTCACTGTATACCCGCACTAGGCCAGAAGGGTCAGGGGTCTCCACCTCCTATGCTAACAGAGCGAATGGGAGAAATCGAGGGCCTTAGACACCAAGGCAGACGAACGTGCAACCACCCTGCAGGGTTAGAGCACCGCATGGCTCCATCCTACTTCATTACATCACCAGGTTAGGGCCCTCATGCAACCCACGCACCATGCTATGCAGGTAAAGTGCAGAACATCCAGGGACACGCGTGTTAACGTGAATTCAAAACCGAGCTGAGGGGTTGTTACAAAAACAGGGTGCTACCCCCTCTCCCAGCCACCTAGGAGGACCTGGGGCCAAGGGCGGGGCCACGAATGCGACAGGACCGTGGTCAGTTAGTGGGGTGACATGGGCAGCGCGGATGGGCTTAAGACCAGGGCCGTGGCAGAGATGCCACCACCACCACCGAGACACCAAGCCACGCGCTGACTGACTGCTTGCCCATTCCAAAACTACAGGCTTAAGAGCTCAGGCGTTTTTAAGGCTAAACCAGAAAGTTAAAACCTCTGCTTTTTACCCAACCCCCCTGGCACTGGGTTCAAACCATCAGTACCTTGTTCTTTTTGATGAATGGCCACAGCTTCCCCTTGGATTTGCCACCGAACTTGAGCTCAGGCTTGCCGTCCCCTCGGGGGTTGGACAGGCTGTTGTCCGACACAGTGCGCTTCATAGGCTGGGTGTAATCCTCGAACTCGACATCCCCGGGGGGCTCGAAGCCTGACTTGTAAGCTTCGATCACCAACTGTGAATCCTGAAATGACAGCCACCCATACGGAGGTACAGTCGATGCACACAAGGACCTTTTCATTTGTTTTTCCAGTGTAGGGGGACAGTGTACCAGGAATCGAACTCAGGACCTCACACTTACACGGCATGTGCTGCGCCACCGAGCTAAATCCCAGGCCGCACAGGACTTTTTCCTTTTGTTGTACCGAAAGTTGGATTCCAGCTGTAACCTCAGCTTTTTCACTAGTTTTGAAACACGGTTTTTCTAAACTCCTCAGGTTGGCCTCAAATTTGCGTTCATCCTGCCTCAGCCTCCCAAGTAGCTAGGATTACAGATGTAAGCCACCATGCCCTCTTTATGCAAACACTTTTTACAGTAAGTTACGATGGTCTTGTACAGATGCTATTCTAAGAAACTTGTATTGATGGACACTGTTTTGTTTTTGCTGATATTGTTTTTCTAGCAACATGTTTATTACTAGAATGAATAAATATAATTCATAGTTGTGATTTGAAGGTATTTTTGTTAGTCATTTTTCTACTTTTGGAGAAACATTTTATTTAAAAACCTAGTTTGGTGTGGTGACATGTGCCTGAGATCTGAGCACTCAAGAGGCTGAAGCAGGAAGATCACTGCAAGTTCAAGGCCAGCGTGGGATACACAGGGAGTTCAAAGGCCATCTGCACTACAGAGTGAGATCCTGTTTCAAAAAACCAAAAACAACAAAAAACAAAAACTTAGTTAAAAAGCAGACCAAGGGCTGGGAATTTAACTCAGCACCTGCTTGGTAAGCATGAGTTCATGAGTTCGATCCCAGGTACCAAAAAAAAAAAAAAAAAAAAAAAAAAGCAGACCAAAAACAATCAATCAATTGTGACCAGGCAGTTCCCCTGAAATTCATTCCAATACATGTATCTGGCTTCCACTAGAAGTTTCTTGTTTTGTTTTGAGACAGAGTCTGAATACATAGCTGACCTAAAACTTGTGGTGATCCTCCTGCCTCAGCCTTGCGCATGCACCACTGTGCCCAGCAATAGCTTTTTCTACAGGTTCCCCCATCTCTCTGCCATCTGCTTTCCACGTGAAGATCACGCTGGGGCCAAAGCTTGAAGGCAGGGGGCTGCCCTTGAGGCTTGGTGGTAATTCAGGGTCCCCCTGTGGGATCTGTGGGAAGGGGCAGAGTCCCTGTGGTACTTTGAAGGTTGAGGCAGGAGTGAGGAAAAGGGAGGTGTTGAGGACAAAGACGCTGCTAGAGTCTGCGCTGCCAGAGGCTTTGGAGACAACAAGGAGCAGATGGCCTCGGGGACCAAGCCTTCTGGATCTAGGTGGGGAGCAGCTGCCTGGGGCCCTGGGGTGGGAGGGCGGTGCGCATCTGTGAGTCGGAGCCAGGAGTGGGGATGGAGGGCAGTGCTGATAATGTTTGTGCCATGAAGACCACAAGTCAGCCTGGGGGGGGGGGGCATAGCACTAGGAGGCTGAAGCAGGAGGATCGCCGCAAGTTCGAGGCTAACCTGGACTTCATTGCAAGATCAACGGGGGACCCTGGGTCTGTCTCTCTGTTCTTCCCTCCCTCTCTCACACACAGAGGTGCACACACGTGCCTACGACCCCGGCAGCCAACTCTGCACGGTGAGGAGGTGGCACTGAGGCCACTGCCACCACTCACGCTCTTCTGGTCGATGGCCTCGGCCGCTGTCACGATGCCGTCCAGGCACTTGCCGATGATGGGGATCACCTGCCGGTCCACCTCGGCGTAGGTCTTCATGCACTCGCCCAGCTTCACGATCCGCCGCTCCTCCATCTCTTGGATTTTCTGTCGCGTCAGATTTCGGTAAGAGAACCTGGGTCACCACTACTTCCGGAAAAGGCTGGGGCCACACTGTCACTGCTAGGGAATCGCATGGCCCGGCTGTAGCCCACAACCCCATTACTTTTCTCGCGCCTCCACACCAGCTTGTGTCTAGGCATGCGTACTGCATGCGCATGCATACGTGCATAGGTACCACGCATGCGCACGCGTGTTATGCGCACACACTCCCACCCCACCCAGCGGGCTGCCCCAGGGTCAGCCATACTCAATGGGGCTCGTTTGTTTGGGTTTTTGAGACAGGGTCTTGGTATGTAGACCAGGCTGGCCTCAGACTCCCAGGAATTTGCCCTCCTCGGCCTGTCCATGCGCCAGAGACCAAACCCCAGGCCTCCACCACTGGGGGCCAGCACTCAACCTGAGCCCGCCCCCGCCCCCTCACAGCATTTTTGACAAACTAAAGAAGCCAAAAGAAAACAATGCAAACAAAAGAGGAGTCATTGTTCAAAGTCTGCGGCTGGGTGAATGCTGCTTTGTCTCCTGAAGGGAAGCTGACATTTTTGTGGCCAGAATGGCTCTTTTAGCAAAGAGGACAGAAATCCAAGAGTCCCGGTTCTAAGGCTGGGAAGGGAAAAACAGGAAGTGCAGGTGCAGACCAAGGAGGTCTGGCTCGGCCGCGCGCTACCGAATATCACGTTTCCTTTCTGGAGCCGGCAGCGGCTCAGCGTCGCTGCTTCCACAGCGCGTCAGGGGGAACTGGGATTCTGGAGTCACACAGGACACAGACCTAGCCCCTGCGCCTCTGAGCAGGCGTATCCGTGTGGGCGGAAGAGATGGGGTTGGGGCGCACCTGGAAGATGGTGGGGATGTGGGTGTGGTAATACTCATGCTGCTCCTGGTTGAACTTCTGCAGGATGGAGGAGTAGTCGGCTCTGCTGTCCTCTGCCATCTGGTGTCGAATCTGAGCCTGCTGCCGCGCCTAGGGCAAAATGAGAAACCACACTTCACCTGTCATCCTTGGAGGCCTGGGACAGCGAGCTGTGCGGAACAGACACCACCCATCCATCCATTATCCATCCATCCATCCACCCAGAGACAGGGGCTTGCTAGCTAGCCCAGCTTGGCTTGAACTCGCAGTAGTCCTCCTGCCTCAGCTCCCCAGTGCTTAGATGACAAGGGTGCACCACCACACCCAACCAAGGCATTTAAAAAGAAAAACAGCACGGCAGCCAGGCATGGTGGTGCACACCTATCACCACTGGGTTTGGGAGGCTGAGGCAGGAGGACAGGCAGTTCAGGGCCGGCTTGGGCATATGGTGGGTTCAAAGCCAGTCTGATGGCATAGTGAGACCCTGTCTTAAACAACAACAAAGAATGAAGAAATCCCACAGCAAGGTTATGCAAACGAGGCAGAACAAGTCAGGCCCCAGCCGAGCCCTGCATCCCCTCTTCTGGCTGACAGGTGACATCCGGCATGGGGATTTTGTCATCTGGATGCTCTGCGTGGTTTCTGTCCAGTGAGGCGTGAAGGCCTGACCAGCCTCACTTCCACCCACGCAAGCCGGGGATACCGCCAACGGTCATTCTGGGTTCCTTCTGGTCCACCACTGGCTCCCTGGCCAGTGGCCTCATCTCTCTCTCCCTGCCCTGTGAGCCGCCCCCTCCTCTCACTGTGGGCCACCAGCCAGTGTAGACATTGTGTCCCCAAAGGCTCGCCCCTCTGCCCCAGACCCGAGCCTGCAAGCCCACAGCCATGAGCAGAAGCTGCCTGCGGCGGTGCCATCTGTGTCCCCCATGCTGCCAAGGCGAGCACCTGGCTCCTGGCCGCCTTCCACCTCCGCAGCCAGCACCGTCATGGACGTGGAGAGAAAAACCCAGGGGGATCCCCGCAGAGACCTTGAGTTTCTAAAATACTCCATGTCATCCACGAACCTTCCTCAGAAAGGCACATAGGACACACAGGGTGGGGTGGGGTGGGGGTGGGAGGGGAAATTCCTTCTCTCTTCTGGAAAGCACAGAACAAGTAGTGAGAAGAGCTTAGAGTGGACAAATGAGTCGCCCTTAGGGAAACTGTTCTGTTTTTGTTTTTAATTTAGTTCATTTTCTGGAGACAAGGTCTCCTAGTTCACACTGGTTTCAAACTCGCAGAGATCTTCCTGCCTCAGCCTCCTGATCATACATCTGCTCATACCAAAGGTGGATGCTTCTCCTGGGGGCTGTGCAGAGGTCTCCAGCACCACGCATGGGGCAGGAATGTCATGACCTCCTCCTCCAGCTCCCTGTGTTGTTGGTGCTGACTACATAATCGCTGACCCTGACCGTGTCCTAATGCCCTTTACCAGGTTCCCAGGCAGTCACCCTGAAACAGCTCTGACCCCAGTGTGGAGTGGGAGAGCAGCCCGGGAAGGAACTGGTAGGTCCCTTCCTGAGTGCCAGGACAGGGTCCACCTAGCGCCTCTGCCAGCCTGTGGCTTGTGACCCCTCATAAACTGCCCTGGGTGCGCACATGCGCTGATCAAATGCTTACTAATGAGGCGCTGGCCTTGTGTATGTGGGCTTGCATCTCTCAGGCTGATCAGATGCCAGAGAACGCCCAGGACAGTGTCCCACCCAGGGGGACGGGGTGGCACAACCCATTCGGAATAAGCTGCCTGCCTTGTCCGGCTCCCAAGTCCCAGTACCCTTGCATCCCTGTGATTTTTTTTTTTTCTCCCCTGGGAAACCCTGGTCCCCAAACAACCAGGGCACAGGGTGGTTCGTGGAGAAGCAAAGGACTGAGGTGCCCCAGACTTTGTCAGGCCTGGCGGGAAGACCCAGCAGCCTGCTGAGCACCTGCTACAGCTGCTTTGGATTAGCATCCACTCTGGTGGAGCAAGGAATGCGCCCTCATGCTGAGCGGATTCGCTGTGGAAATCTATTTTGGTTGAGAGAGTCCTCGTGTTTATTTTACAATGGAATTCAAGAATTACTGGTTTCTTAGAGGCAGTTACTCACTATAATGAATACATTTTTTAAAATATCTAAGCTAGGAGTGAGGTGCACGCCTGTCTGCCCAGCACTTGGGAGGCTGAGGCAGGAGGATCAGTTCCAGTTCAAGGCCAGTCTGGACTTATAATGGATTCAAGGCAGCTTGAACTGCACAGCCAGAGCCTGTGTCAAAAAAAACCCAAAACAACAAAAACAAGTGGGGAAAAAAAAAAGTATCTTCAAAGCTGTACCTGGGGGGCTGGGGATGTAGCTCAGCTGCATAAGCGCCTGCCTTGCAAGCACGCAGTTGTGAGTTCAATCCCTGGTACCAATAAAAAAAAAAAAAAAGCTGTACCTGGAGCAACCACAAGGTAACAACACATTTTACAGGGCCTCTCCTGTTGTCTGGGGCACAAGGAAGGCTGTAAGCGTCACCATTTCCACCTCTGCGTAGGCTGCGGTGAAAACAGCAGCCATTATCTTTAAACAGGTACGTGTTTCCACCCCACACCAGCCTGCTCGAATTCTCTAAACCCAGCTTCCTTTCCAAAAATAGAGACGAGCCCCGCCAAACACCAGGGCTTCAGCGCGCAGACACAGCCTCGTGGGCTCGCCCCGCTTTCTGAAATCGAGTCCAGGAGCCGCCTGTTCACAGCCAGCAGTGTCCCAGCCAACCGAGGCCCTGAGTCACAGATAGAGTCGGACCGCGTGACACTGACAGAAACACAGAATGCGAACTCTGGAATTTCCTGACAAACCTCAGGGTCTCCCCAGATATACCCGGGCAGCTTCGAGGGGGCTGGCTCTAAACGTCCGTGTTGCCAGTTTTTGGGGGGAGGGGAGTTTTGTGTGGTTTTTGGAGACATGGTCTCATTATATAGCCCAGCTGGCCACAAAATCACAGAGATCCTCCTACCTTAGCCTCCCAAAGATGGGATGACAGGTGCAGAGCTGCCCTTTCTAAACCGAGACTGAACTGTAGCCTGAGATTTTAAACTCCTAAGGAGTTTAACGACAAACGTGCAGTAATCCATAATCCACTTGAGTTTGCTAATTTTAGATGATTCAGGAGGCCAGAATGTGACTCTATTTCCTGTTTAATTCAATGTGACTTCTCCCTTCATATTTCAAAATATTAAAGAGACTAACCAACCGCTCACTGAGGAGCCTGCTCACTTCCTAAGGAGACACAGGAGAGCTGCTCACCATGGCTGGCAAACCCTCACCTCTTTCTTAGGACCGAGCGTGGTGGGGCACGCCTGTATTCTCAGCACTTGGGAGGCTGAGGCAGGGGGGTTGCCGGGAGTTTAAGGCCAACCTGGGCTACTTAGTGAGTTCACTGTCAGCCTGAACTCCATAGCGAGACCCTGTCTCAAAAATCAAATAAACATGAAAACCAAAACCGAAAAGATGAGCAGAGACAAATTCTAAGGCTGAATGCCAGGAACACGGAAGGGCTGGAAGGCTGGCGCCCCCCACCCCGGTGCTGGTGTGGGAAGAGGGAGAAAGGGCTCTTTGTGCGGAGCTCATCGATGCCCCAGGGTGACAATGGCATTGTCCCTACTTCCCCGCATGCCAGCGACCCTCAAGTCCTCTCCAGCTTGGCGGTGGGAAGGCGTGGAAGATTCCGAGGCAGAGCCCAGGGAGCTGCTGCGGAGGCCTCAGGGCTGGGGCTGCCAAGTGTGGGGCCTGGCTCTGATCAGCGGAAGTGTGGTGAAAACCAAACCCAGAGAAACACTCCAGCCTAGGTTCACCAAAGAAATGTGCCTGCAACATTCTAGCAATTTCCTGACTTAAAAAATGTAAAAGAGGCTAGGTGAAGTAGCACACATATATAACCCCAGCACTCGGGAGGCTGAGGCAGGAGGATCACTGGGAGTTCCAGGCCAGTCTGGGCTACACAGTGAGACAAAAAAAATAAAACGAGAACTTAAGAGTAACAACCTGAAAGGAAATGAAACAAGAACATTTAAAAGAACTAGGTCAGACATGGAGGCACATGCCTGTAATTTCCAGCACTCAGAAGGCTGAGGCAGGAGGATGGAAAGTTCAAGGGCAACCTGGGTTACATGATGGATCCTGTCTCAAAAACTAAACTAAAATGATCGAAATAAGTAAGTAGCAGAAAAACCACAAGAAAGTAATGAGATGCAGGTAAAGAGGTCAGGAACATCTGGCGAACAATCAGTGAACCTTCTGTCTCTCTCTCTCGCTAAGACACAGTTTCCATACGCAGTTCAGGCTGGCCTTGAGCTCTCTCTCGCCCCTCCTCCTGCCTCGGCCTCTCAGAACACAGGGACTACAGGTGTGTGCCACCGTGCCACTTTTCATATGACTGGCTTGTTTGGTTTGCTTTCTTGAGGTGGAGTCTCTCAGTGCCCTCAACCTCACTTGCTGTTAATGATTCTGCTTTAGGAAGAGACACAGACTCTGCAGACCGAGCTGCTCGCAGGACAGAGATAAACAAGAGTCGAAGGCACCGTCTGCTCTGGGATCTCGCATTTAAACACTGAGCCCGGTCAGAGCAAAGGCATTCAGCTTTAAGCCTCTTTTTAGTATGGTGTACTTCCCTCTTCTTCAAAATGCAACAATTTTAAACCTTTTAACTTTCAGAGATTATGTTGCACTTGCAAATCTGCTTCCTGTGTCATATTAACCACTTCCTCTTGTTCAATTTTTTTTTTTGGTTTTCTAAACTTGTAGTCTGTGCTTCCTCGGAGCCGGCTGACATCTTACACAAACCAGCGAGGTGGGAGCGCTGGGGAGGGCCTCTCGGCCAGCAGACGTGTCGGGCGGGCGGCAAGCAGGAGCCTAAGGCCCAGCTCCATATACGTCCCGGAGCTCCGCGGACGCGGCCAGAGCCCGGCTCCCCACATGGGCAAAGAATCTCGCTCTGCGCTTGGCCAGAGGCCTCCCTGCCCCCACCCCATCAAGTAGCCGCCGACCTGCTGAGCTTCCCTGGCTGTGCTAGGGCCCTGATGTCTAACGGAGAGGACAGCTCCAAGGAATGGCGTCTGTCATGCTTAACACTGCCATGGATCCCTTACTGTAACCTCATTCACCTTTAGAGTGCCCTGCTATATAACCTGCAACTCAGAAAAAAGCTTTATCTATTGTGATTAAAAGCCTAAGCCACGTGTGGTGGCGCATGCCTGAAATCCCAGCAGTCAGGAAGGAGGCTGAGGCAGAGGATGAATGTGAGTTTGAGACCAACCTGGAGTACAGAGTAAAACCCTGTCTCAAACCAAAAAGTAAAAACTAAATATACATTAAAAAAAAAACCAAAACAATAACTGGGGGTAGTGGCCCATGCCTATAACCTTAGCATTTGGGAGGCTGAGGCAAGAGGCATCCCAATAAGTTCAAGGCTAATCTGAACTACATAGTAAGCCCCTGTCTCCAAAAAGTCAAAAAAATGAAACAAAAAAACCCCCAAATAATAAATCATGTCCAAAGCCAAATATTTCAAAAATTCATAGTACTTAAAAACAAAATGGGTTAGTGGCAAAAGCACCTGCCTGGCAACTGCAAGGTCCTGAGTTCGATCCCTGGTACAAAAACAAAACAAAAAGGGGCTGGAGGTTTAGCTCAGCGGCATAAGCACCTGCCTTGCAAGCAGACAGTCGTGAGTCCGATCCCCGGTACCGATAAAAAGTGAAACAAAAAACAAAACCTCCCAATGAAAGGGCAGTCCTTGGAGGCCACATCCTCACTTAACTTTTTAAACATTTAATCAAATAGAGTTACAGAGCGGACATGGCCGGGGAGCCCCTAGAAAGTGCACCCCGCCCATTGCCCCTGGACCTCGGGGCTCCGATGAGTCTAAGTGCCCTGGCCGCTCCTGCCCACCCTTGCCCAGCCACTGGCACGCAGAGGACCCACGCCAGGTGACACTGGCCGTGTAGAGAAGGAGAAAGGGGACGCCGGGTCTGACAGCGTCACTGGAACGCAGGGGCCAGCTCTGCAGCTGTCGTGATGTCAGCGGCCACAGTCACAAGGCGGCAGCCGGAGAAAGGGGCTCATTCATCAGCTGGTGTGGCCGAGCCCGGGGCATGCGTGCGCTCGGGACACTGCAGCTCTGTCCAGGCCGCTGGCCCAAGGGCCGCCTGTTTGGATAACCCCATCCTTTCTGCCAGATGCCATGGCCTGGCAAGTGGCCACGGGGCACAGTCATTCCTCCACTCAAGTCCGGCATGGCACTGTCCCTAAGCAAGGTGACAGCTACGCCCCACTGTGAGGTCAGTCACCAGACACCACTCAGGAGCTGCTCAGGGCAGGTGCTCGGCAGACAAGCGAAGTCGGAGGAGGAAAGGGAACCCTCCCAGAGAGGCTGGCGTGGATCCGAGCTGGAGTCCGAGCCACCCCACACCTGGCCAGTGGGCAGGGAGCACGGCCACGAGGAAAGGATGAAGAGGGCACAGGCTCCTGGCCCAGGAATTCCACCGCCAGTTACAGGCTCTAAAAACTGAGCAGCTGGGTGTGGTGGTGCATACCTATAATCCCAGCACTTGGGAGGCTGAGTCAGGAGGATCTCCATGAGTTAGCTGAAGGTTAGCTTCAACTACATAAGAAGACTTTGTCTTGAAAAATAAAACACCCCAAAGATTGAGAATTAGAGCTGAAGATAGGGCTTAGCATGTGCAAGATGCCAGGGTCCCTCCTCAGCAGAGAGAGAGAGAGACTATTAATTCATGCCTGCATTAGAATGTCCTTAAATCAAACCCAGGAGGACCAAGTTTCACACTCCTTGTTACACCAATGACACTCAGGAGACAAGATCACAAGTCTGGGCCCAGACTCTGTTTCAAAATAAAAAATCGAATTGGCCAGGCTGTAGCTCACTGGTAGACTGCTGTCTGGCACATGTAAGCCCCTGAGTTTGACACCCAGCGCTGCAAAACACCAGGACTACTATTATTGATAGCTGCATGTGGTGGTCCATGCCTGTCATCCCACCACGGGGAGGCTGAGGCAGGAGGAGTGCTGTGAGTTTGACAGCAGCTTGGGCTGCATTGTGAGTTCAAGGCCAGTCTGAACTACACAGCGAGACCCTGTCTCAAAACAAAACAGAACAAAACAAGAGGGAAGAAAACAGAATACTTGAGACCAATAAAACACATAAAACAGATACAGAATACAGACACGCAAATTGCAAAGCCGCACTCCACCCGTGTTGTGCCTGGACCTGTCTCCCTGTGTCCCAGGTCTATTCAGACAAGCATTGGCCTAGCAAATCTTCCCAGGGCATCTTACCCTCACATTCAGGTGGGTCTTCTGCACACAGTGTGGGCCTGCGTTTCTTTTTAAATCAGTCCTGAGAGGCTATCTGTCTCCAGAGAGTGCGGAAGGGAAATGCTGATTGCCCCGCCCTGCCCACTACATGACTGCACTGTACCCTTCGAACACAGACAATTAAAATTATAACAAAATGTGAAGCAGAACGCTCAGGTAGGAAAGAAAACCTCAGAATAAGCAGGAAAAAAATTTCAACCGTGGCAACACTGGCTAGCCCGACCAACAAGCTCGACCTGAACATAAAAGCCTGTGGTCGGAGGTTAGGCATGAGGGTCCTTTGAACCCAGCTCAAGCCTCGCCTGGGCAGCATCCTGAAAGCCTGTCTCAAAAACAAGTAATAGCTGGGTATGGTGGTACACACCTGTGACTCCAACACTTGGGAGGCTGTGGCAGGAGGGTTACTATGCATCCCAGGCCAGCCTGAACTGTAACTAAGAACTGGAGGATACATATTCTGTTATTTACAGAATATTTAGTAAAATTGCCCATTGCCAGGCATGATGGCTGGGAGGCTGAGGCAGGAGGATCACAAATTTGAGCCCAGTCTCAAAAACTCAGTAACTTAGAGCAAGATCCTATCTCAAAATAAAAAACAAACATTAGAAGAGGCTGAGAGTGTAACTCAGGGTGAAGGCCCTGGGCTCAATCCTCAGTACTGGGGGAAACATTTACCTGGGTGTTAGGCCCTGAACCAAATCTCAATAGACAGAAAATTCATATTCAGGTAGATTTCCAAGGATCACAATGCAATTAAATTAAACATAAAAAGTATAATTATGCTATACATTTTGAAATTACAACATATGGCTTGTTTGGTTTTGGTTTTTTGAGACTGGGTCTTACTATGTAGCCCAGGCTGGCTCAGATGAGTGAAAATCTTCCTGCTTCAGCCTCCCATGTGCTGGGATTACAGATGTGGTGACCACGCCGAGCTAACACTAAATGATTTTTATAAAGGCATCTGGACAGGTGTTTTGTCTGTAAGTGGCTGACGTAGTACAGGAGGGCATCATTTCCTTACTAAAGTTATCGCTGACCAATCTGGCAAAAGCAGAGGAAATCTCTGAAAAGGCACACAGCACCCCAGCCCGCTCAGGAAGCTGTGAGTACCCGTTACCTGGGCCCGGATGAACCAAGGCTGTTCCTGGCCGGACGCTGTGTACACTGCACTCATGAATTTGTAAATTTATTTGTTTATTTATTTTTGGCTTTTTAAGACAAGGTCTCGCTATAGTCCAGGCTGTCCTTGAGCTCACACCGATGCTCCTGCCTCAGCCTCCCGAGTGTGCTTTCCCCAGAGAAAATCCCACAAGGAGCAGCAGTGAGACCCAGTGCCTGTCCCATGCCTTGAGCTCGGCCTGTGGCTGTCATCTGCAGGCATCCGCCTGTCTCAGCCCACATTGAGCACCCTACATCCTCCTGGTGGTGGCTCCTGCTTCCTCTTTAGAAGCCAGCGAAGCACAGCCACGCCCGCCCCACCCCTCCAGACGTCAGGCTCTGTGTCACCATCCCGGGTACCTGGCACTGACACTGCTCCACCCGCACGATGCGGGTCCCAAGGAAAGGCGGGTGACACAGAGCGAAAGCTCGCCACAGCCCGGGCAGGAAGGGGAGCCGAGGCCCCAGCTGCGGGTGGCACCGGCAGGGCGGGGCTGACCTTCTCCACGTCGGCCTTGGTGACGTTGATGTCCGCGTCCATCTTCTCAAAGTACTGCTGGGCCCTCTCGGCCTCCCTGCAGTCCCGCTCGAATCGCCGCTTACTCTGCAGGGACGGCGGGGAGCAGGGGCGTCACCGAGAAGGCCACGAGTGCTCGATCTACAGTGGGAGACCCAGAGCGGGGACCCCACGCCCACCCCCGCTTGAGGCACTAATCCCACGTCCCCCGAGTCCTGCAGCCGCCTGGAGAGCCCCTTCCTGAGGGTCGTTAGCTGCCTGGCGGTGGCTGCGTGGGTGTCCTACATGGACATTTCCCTTTCATGGTCATCTTGACCTTGGGAGGAGCCAGAAGCCCCACGGTGCCAGATGTCATGGATGAGGTGAAGGAGGACACAATGGCACGTTGCTGCCAGCCTGCATCTCTACCCAGGGCACTTGTGGCAGTTTTTACCGGGTTTTTGATCGTATTGCATAAAGACCCTCAGGAAAGAGCGCTCTGGGTAAGGGGAGCATGGAGGGGTCTGTGGAAAGGTGTCTTACACCACTGCATTATCTGGAAAACTCCACCCCCTGGGATTATGCGGCTAGGACGGCCCGGTGGGCGGCTCTGCTCTTGGTCTCCCGTGTCCATTTCTGGAGGATTTGAGACCCAGCCTTAGACCCACGGGCTTGGTCTCTTCTGGCTCCAGTTGTCACTTCAGGTGATGTCTTTAGAAGCAAATTTAATGAAATTCAGATGACAACACCCCGTAAGAATGTCTCTTTGGGGTGTGAGTGCGTGCGTTTGAGATAGAGTCCTGCTCTGAAGCCCAGGCCAGTCTTGAACTCATGGTGATCCTCCTGCCTCAGCCTCTCAAGTGTTTCTTTTCTTTTCTCTCTTTTTTAATTTTCCTTACTGAACAATTCAAACCTATGCTAAACGCACATCAGAAAAACCATGAACCATGGCTGAGCTGTTTTCTACTCACGGATTCGAGCTGCTTCCAGCAGGTCTCGATGTGCTGCTGTGCTTTCCGCCCATCGTGGAAGTTCTGGGAAGGGGAAGAGACGCAGGGCTGAGGATTAATCAAAACAGCACCGAATACGGACATCCACGCCAAGGGCCGGCTCTTCGAGCCCCGGCCTGGGTTCCATCCCAAGCAGTCAAATCAGGAAAGGGAAAAGATACTAAGAACCAGGTGTGGTGGTACACACCTATAACCTCTGCGTTTGGGAGGCTGAGGCAGGAGGATCCACACAAATTTGAAGCCAGGCTGAGTTCAAGGCCAGTCTGAACTGCATACCAAGACCTTGTCTCAAAAAACAAAACAAAAAACCAAATTGAACTTAAAAAGCCAACAAAAGAGGAAGTGAAAGACAAGAGTTCCCTTTTGAGCTCCCAAAATTTTGAGCCCTAAAATAATATTGACTATGAAGTCATATTTACCACGAGAAAAACCAATAGGAATAGCTGAAGACAGCAACCACTCTGTTCACCTTTTTGCTACTTGGAAGGATAAAACACATTTTAATTTTAAAATATTTATTTGGGGGGGGGGATCTTGACGCCTGGCCTCACTGTGTGTCCTTGAAGTCACTATGGATCTCAGTGTGGCTTCAGACTCCCCTGCCTCAGCCTCCTAGGTGCTGGCATTACAAACCTGCACCATGTGCCTGCCTTATAAGGCCCATTTCTAGAGGATCTGCCTGGTTACACACATGACAGAACAGATTTTTTAAGAGTCACAAAACTGACAAGTCAGGCTGGCTGTGGTGGTGCACATCTGCAATGCCAGCACTCAGGAGGCTGAGGCAGGAGGATTGCAGTGAGCTCAGCACCACTCTGAGCTACATGGCAAGATCCGGTCCCACAACAAAAACAAACAAAACAAACAGCTGTGCTACCCTCGCTACAACTAACCCCAGACCATGCCCATCACCCCCCAAGAAATACTCCCGTCTCAGCTGTCACCCTCCAGTCCCGTTATGGGATCCGTGCCCAAGGCTGCCCTTTGGGACGTGGCCTAAAGCGAGGACCACATGGCCTGTGCCTCACTCACGCTTTCTCCTCGTCACAGCCGAGGGTCTCCCCCCGGGGACAAGCAACTTGTTCTGAGCCCAGCCCTGGCCACCCCTGTGCACTGGGAGCCTTGTGTACCCAGGGCTGGTGCCCGGGACCGGGCTGCGTGGAGGTTGCAGACCAAGGCAGGCATGTGCAGTTTCCAACAAGGCCTCTGGGAGCCAAGGCAGCCGAGCCTGGGGCCGGGCTCCCCGGGTACGCTGGGCTGACTCAGTTTCCCACTCAGCGGTGGACAGCCTGCCCAGTGTGTGTGTGTGGGGGGGAGATGGAGCTGAGACAGAGACTTGGATGGGGTTGGGGCAGCTCCAGGATCGGATTCTGGGGTCTCGGGCTCACTCTGTCTCTCTGACACTTCTCTGTCTCTCTCTGTCTCTCTCTGTCTGTCTGTCTCTCTCTCTCTCTCTCTGTCTCTGCCCTTGCCTCTCTGACTCTGTCTCCCCTTCTGCTGGTCCCTGTCTCTCTCCCTCCCTCTGTCCTGAGGATCAAACCCAGGTCTGCGCACCCCACCCCACCAGCAGGCTACTACCCAGCTGTGTTTTACCCCAGGCCAGCCTAGCACTTGGGAGGCTGAAGCAGGAGGATTGCTGTGAGTTCTAGGCCAGCCTGGGCAACACGGGGAGCTGAGGATCAGCCTACACGATGTGGTTAAGGCCTTGCCTAAAAAAAAAGAAAAAAAAAGTCCCCAAGTATATTTGGCCCCGTGGCCCCCTTGGGAGAGGGTGCTGAGCCTGGCCCCAGGGCCTTCACGGTGAGCTACAGCCCCGGCTTCTTTTTATTTTGCATCTTGACACAGAAGCTCCCTAAATCACTGAGTTTCCCAGGCTAGGCTCAAACATGCAATCCTCCTGCCTCAGCCTCACAGAACACAGCCTCCAGGTGCCTGCCATCACATCTTGCTCCCCTTGGGTGTCTTTGGCTCAGTCCCATGACTGGTGTTTGCTGCTGACTGTGAGGGGGCCCGAGGGTGCTGCCTGGGCTCAATGGCAGAGGGGGAAGGAAAGGGCGGACTTCAGCCTCACCAAAGCCAGGGTGAGCCCATGGGGGAAGAGACGGCACTAAGATCGGCTGGGAGCCATGAGCACAGGGTGCCAGGCAGCAGCACTGCAGTCCTTGCCTCCCTGGGCCCCAGTTTGTACTCTCCTTCTGGACACTGGTGACTGGCCCCACGGCTGAGCCATCCAGGTTCCAGATTCCAGGTCCACCCCATCCTCTGTTCCCATCAGATCCGATGCAGGGACAGGGACGCTGGACCCAGGAGGGCGGGAAGTGTCCTGGGGCAGCTGGGCCTCTGGACCAAAGTCCATGGGGCCACAGGACGCCACCTGTGACCCCTTGAAAGGCAGGCCCTTGCCTTCTGGGGACTCGGGGTATAGGGGACATGGTTTCCATTGCAACCACGTGGCCAGCACTGGGGAACTGCACCCGATGAACCCAAGCTGAACCCTGTCCATATCCTGTAAGTGTCACTGGAAACGCTCCTTTCTTTCTTTGGAGGCAGGGCTCACTAGATAGTTGAGGCTAGTACTCCACTCACTATGAGTGTCATGAGTTTGAGACCAGCCTGGGCTACAAAGTGAGCTCAAGGCCAGCCTGGATTGCACAGAGAGACCCTGTCTCAAAAAGACAAAAAAAAAAAAAAAAGAGTAAAAAAGGTGGGCGACGTTGCTCACTGCAAAGGCCCTGGGTTCCATCCCGGGTGCCGCAGTAACATAAAGGAATTGTCTTCAGCAGCTGCAGGGGTGAATGCATCTCCTGCCCAGCCCCGGGGAACACAAGGCCCGGCGTCGCCCTGAGAGACACCAGGAGCCTCAGGTTCCCGATGCTCAGCTCTGGGCTGGAAACTCACGCGGGCGCCCGATAGCACCGGGCAGGGGAGGGATGCGGAGCGGGATCCGGTGTCCGGCACAGAGCCTCTTTATTCCTCTGCTCGGCTGCCCCTGTCCTCCCTGAGGTTGAGTTTCAGGGTGTGCAGCACCTCCGCACAGGAAGGCAGATCCACCCCACTTCTCCCTTGCACTGAGCCCCAGGGAGGCCCAGGGCATCCGCGTCCAGCTCTCATAATGGAGCAGGGGGAAAGCAGAGGGGGATGGAGTGTAAGGCCAGGAAAGAATCCAGGGAGGATCCTGGCGGAGGGACAGCAGTGGGGGGAGGGGAGGGCAGGGCTAGCAACCACAGCCACACGGGTGGGGACAGCCAGGGACAGCACCGGGCACCAGGAGGGTCAGGGCTCAGGCCCCTCACCCTCGGAGGACCCTTCTGCTTTCCAAGCAGGACCTGGTGCGTGCAGGGCACCGGAGGGTCACAGACAAGGGCAGGGGAACAAAGCTGTCTCCACAGCAGCTCTTTACATTGTGGTTCTGGGTGTTTGGAGTCGAGAAAGGGTCTTGCTATGCAGTTCAGGCTGGCCCTGAACTCACGATGCAGGCCAGGCTGGCCTCAAACTCCTGACAACCCTCCTGCCTCAGCCTCCTGGGTGCATGCCCCAGCTAGCACATACATTTATTTGTATCTAAAGTCACCGGTGGGCTCCCTGCTGCAGAGAGGCCTACAGGAGCAGCGTCCCCCCACTGCGACCCACAGGCCATGGCTTTCATGGGCCTTCAGGGAGGCTCTGGGGTCTGACCCCCTCCTCCTCGCCGCCCTGTCACTGTCTGTGCCTTCTGGGATTTACTGGGCACACAGAATCTTCGTAGGCCAGGTGAGCCCACAGGAAAGGAGACGACAGTGACAGCCCTCTGACCTCAGCAGCGGCCTCTGTCACCTGGGCCCCTTTGCTAGAAGTGGCCAGGATAAAGTCAAAGAAGTGACCACGCTCTTTCGCAGGAGCTTGGGGGCAACAGCCACCTCGGACAGGGCCTCACTCTGCAGGGAACTGGCCAGCCAGTAGGGGACAATCAGGGCCTCTGTGCGGGATGGATGATGTCATCAGAACACTGCTCCTGTCTCCTGCTGTCTCCTGTCAGAAGAGACAGGAGACGCCAGGAGAGGACCAGGCTGTCCCTCCTGTAATGAGAGGTTCTTGGCTTCCTAAGAAACACAGGAGTGGTCTAGAAAATGCCATGGGATGCAGGGCTGCCAGCTAGAGTCTCCTCCCCTCCCCTCCACTTCCCTCCTCCCATCTCCCCTTCCCCCTCCCTCCTCCCTCCCTCTCCACTTCTCTTCAATAGGTCTTGCTAAGCAGGCTGGCCATCAACTCCTCCTGCCTCCTGCCTCAGCCTCCCAGTGCTGGGATTGCAGATGTGCGTCACCATGACCACTTCAAAATGTTTACTTCTATCTCCCTAATTGGTGTACTTTATTCTCTACAGACAAAATCATCCTCTAAAAAACTTTTTTTTTTTTTTTTTGGTACCAGGGATTGACTTCGAGCTTACCTAGCAGGTGCTTACACCATTGAGCTAAATCCCCAGCCATTTTTAAGCAAATAGCTAAATCCCCAACATTTTTAAGCAAACAGCTCAGATTAAAAATAATAATAATAATCAAGAAATTCTCCAAACTAACCAAGTAACAAATGACAAATGACTGTGTCAGCGTCTGGGTTTGTTTTGCACTGGGAATTAAACCCAGGGCCTTACACTGAGCTCCGTCCTTTTGACTTTCAGACAGAATCTGGCTACACCGCCCAGCTGGACTCAAGCTTGCAATTTTCCTGCCTCAGCTTCCCACGTGCTGGGATGACAGGCGTGCACCACCTGGCTCCAGATACAGCTTCTAAGAAGGTTTTACTGTCCACGCAGAGCTAAAGAAGGAAAGGGCTGGAACACACACGCATCACACCGGCTGGTGGGTGGGCACGCGCTCACCTGCCGTGTCTGGAGATCTGAAACCGTAAAGGTTAACAAAGGAGGACCCAGCACGGAGCTGGCGTGGTGGCACAAAGCTGCAATCCCAGCACCCGGGAGGCTGAGACAGGAAGATCCCTACAAGCTTGAGGGCAGCCTGAAGTGTCCAGCAAGATCCTATCTCAGAAACAAACAGAAAGAATAATATGATAAAATAAGACACAACAGGTACAGCGTGGATGGGAGAGGGAGGACTGGGGGGAAATGAGGAGGGAAAACTCCAGTGAGAACAGACAACCACCTGGAGTTTTAAATCCAGGAGGAAGACAAAGGACAAAGGACAAAGACAGACCGCAGAAGGACAAAGAGGAGGAGCACGCAGATCCTGGCTGTGGCTGAGGCAGTGACATCCCCACAGCTGCCATGGAAGCCGGATGCACAGCTTGGGGGCTCCCGGGACCCTCCCTGGCTCCTCACAAGAGTCCCCAATCTGAACCCTGAAATACTCCTGCCGCCCCGGCATCCGCTGCCTTCACTGAGGCTGACGTTTCCAGATGCATTGAGAATGAAAACAGCTTCTCCATGAACACACAAGCTTCCCCACAGCGGGGCATGGTGGCACGGGCCTGGGATCCCAGCATTCGGGAGGCTGAGGCAGGAGGATGCCAGGAGTTTGAAAGCAGTCTGGACTACACAGCGAGTTCCTGACATCCTCACAGCCCAGTGGGATCTGCCCCAGAGGCCTTGCCCCAACCGAGATTCTACTGTGGACCGGAGCTTCACCGATGTGGGGTGGGGGTGTGCTCCCTTCACTCCCCTGGGAACCAGTTCACTGAGCTCACATCCTCAGCCCCAACCAGAGAAACCTCTCGGCCTATCCAGGAAGCCGGAAGCGAGGTGGCCCTGTGGCCAGCTCTGTCATCTGAGCAGGTCAGGGTGACCGAGTCACAGCTCAGGACAGAAACTCCATGCAAGCAAAGATGCGCTCCGCCTAGGGACAGACTGGCTGGCTGCCACACACACACCTGCACCGCTACAGACAGGCCAGGCCGCCCACCTTCCACAGCCTCTGCACAGCACTGAGATACAGTCCCCACCCCAAGGGCACGGGCGGGGCCAAGACAGGTGCTACTCCACTCAACCCCGGGAGGGGACACTCATCCTTGGGGGTCGAGCAACAGTGCAGGGTCATTTAAGTAGTACAGCGCTCACCCTGGGAGGCTGATGCAGGAAGACACAAGTCCAAGCCTAGCCAGACAGAACTATGTCAAGATTTTAAAACATTTAAAAATAAAAGTTCTGGATTCAGTACCCCATGTTGAGGAGAAAAATAAAAACAATACAACAAGTGCTTTAACTGTCACTTTATGTGATCCTTCAAGGTGTTTGTTTACTTTTATTTTTAGAGACAGGACGGGCCTTGAACCTGCGATCCTCCTGCCTCAGCCTCCCAGGCATCTGACAGGCCTGGGCCTCCCTGACGGGCTCTGGGCTCCCTGGGAAAGGACAGTGGCTGTTACCGAGAAGAAAAGGAAAACCTTACATCAAACCACCACCAGCACGATTCTATTTGCTGCTCTGCGCTGGACATTTGCAAAAGCTCGCCACAGCCCAAACCGGAGCTTTAATTTAATTAGAGAAGCTTCCCATGTGAGGCTCCAGGAGCCTCCCCACAAAGCCTCTGACTCAAAGGTGGCTTGTAGCTCTTCAAATAAAAGGAGCTATAAATCACAGATGTTACTGAATGTAGCTCAGGACCACTGATAATTTCCTCCACAAATTACTATCATTTTTGATTTCAAAAAAGGAACAGAATGCGAAAGGTACAGCTATAAAAAGAGACTTGCAATTAGCAGAGTACAAATAAGGAAAACAATTTGGTGTGTCACAGCACGGCAGAAGGATGGGGAAGCTGGGATCTGGGAGCCGAAGAACTAAGTGAGGCTATGGGGGCTGAGGCCACACCCCACCCGCACCCAGCCCGACTCTGCACTCTGCCCTCCAGGTACTCGCGAGCACAGCCAGGGCTGCGTGGCCCAGCCCAGGGGACACAAAAACCCGGTCCTGGGGAGCTTGGGGTGAGGGAACAAGCAGCTGGGCTCGGGGAGCACTCGGAGCACACAGCCTAAAGAACTAGGCTCACTGGGACGGGAACACAAGCCTCATGACCTCCCTTTGAGCAAATGTCCTATGCACACGCTCCATTCGCTTCTGGATGGGAAGCTTGAAAGAGTTTTGGCCCAGACAGGACACTGTAGCCAGAATCAAGGAGCTTCATCTCCCCCACCCCTAGGAATTTACCTATGGCACCAAACAAAGACCAATGGGCTACCTGTGCATCCCTAATGTCCCCTTAGGTTCCACCCCAAACCTAAGCTACTTATATGCCTCCACTCCACTTGTTCCACAGAGAGATCACCGACCCCCTGGGGGGAGATGCTGCGCCCAGGGGATGGGGGGGGTCTCACCCGCATTCTCAAAATAGAGGTCATTTATATTTCATACTTATCTTTTCAGCCGCCACCGGTCCCCCATAGTTCTATCAAAGCTCACTGATGGGAAAGCTATGACATTTTGTGGCAGAGGTAGACATTTGAGTCCATCCAGGATATCTGGGGGACCCATGGGTAGTGCTAGAAGCAAAGACTTTGAATTTCTATTTTCAATTAACAAGTTAAAAAAATTTGCTAGTGGGTAAACCGGGCATGGTGGTACACACCTGTTGTTCCAGCATTTGAGAGGCTGAGACAGGAGGATCTTGCAGTTTGAGGCCAGCATGAGCTACTAAATTAGTTGTCTCAAAATAAACACACAACACACGGAGGCTGCAGGCTGCTGGGAGGAGCTATAGGTGAGTGCCGCAGGGCCCTGGGTTTTAGCCCTAGTAACCTTTCCCCAGGAGAGGAAAAAGCTAGTTACCGATAAGCACTAGGGAAACAGTAGCCGTGTGTGTGTGTGTGTGTGTGTGTGTGTGTGTGTGTGTGTGTGTGCGCGCACGCGGCGCCTACCCATGAATGAATGGAATGGCAAAGGTGAGGTGGACAGAGGGGCTTTTGGCAGGAAAGACCTTGTTAAGGTGACATTTCCGACAAAGAGGTCAGAAACATTCCCCAAAGAGAAGCAGAAAGCACCATAAGGGAAGCTGCAAAGAGCCTGGAGCTACCAAGAAGCAATTAGGGAGGAATGGGGAGGGGCTGCGAGCTTCCCCCAGGGCTCACTTCAAAGACAGCTGGGATTTCCTAAGGAGAAAGCACCCAGTTCTGTTAGGGACTTGGCCAAATGCTGATCTCCCTGGATGGGGACAGGGCAGGGAAAGATGCCAGGAGCACGGGCCAGGAGGACAGACAGAGGCCGGGCCTCTATGAGGGCAAGGGAAGTCAGCAACCAGAAGCCAGAGCTGGGCTAGGGTTACAGGATTCACTTTGTCTTTATCACTGCTAAAGCACTGAACTGCCCAGCCTGGGCTGGAGCTTGTGAGCCTCCTGCCTCAGCCTCCCAGCCGCAAGCTGGGAATATTCCCGAGTGGAGCTTCACAGGGTCTCGGAGACCCTCAAAACTGTATGAGAGACCTAGAAGCTGTTTTGTTTTTAGAGACAGGTCTGGCTGTGTAGTTCAGGCTGGCCTCAAGCTCACTGTGTAGCCTGGACTGCCCTCAAATTTAGAGTGATCCTCTTGCCTTAACCCCCCCTGTGCTGGGATGACCGTCATGGGCCACCAAGCCAGACCAGAAGCAGACATTTTTCAGAACAGGGTGTAATCTGTACAGCTCTCAGAGGCGTCAACTCTCACACCAGGCCGGCCGGGCCCAGCTCATCACCTGCTTGTGTCTGAGAACCAGAAACCAGTGACTTACCGCTTTCCGCTCCTGCTTCAGCTCCTGGACGTAGCGGGCCAGGTCCACCAGGATCTGAGCCGTCATGTTCTCCGAGATGACCTCGTGCTGCCCGGCGTAGTCCCCAGTCTCGTGCAGGGTGGACAGGAAGGCTCGGCACGATGTGTACCTGGGGACACAGCACAGCTCCCTCGCAACGAGGCACAGGCAGGAACCGGTAATTACAGGAAAGCTAATTCCCCCACCTCCCCTGGGGCCGGGGCTCATTACACAGGCCGGCTCCCAGCAGATGCCCGAGAGGAGAGCGCTCGGGACTCATCACACTCGGGCGCTCGGGTATCATGCAAATGCCTGCACATGCCATGTACTGATACTGTGGCCACTGAAGCAGAGACACCAACCCAGGACATGCACCAGGCATGGTGGTGCACCCTGTCCTCCTAGCCCTAGGAAGGCTGAGGCAGGAGGGTCGCTGTGAGCCTGATACCAGACTGGCTGCACCATGAGTTCCAGGCCAGCCTCAACCAAATGGCGAGACCCTGTCTCAAAGACCAACAGCAAATCGGTCCATCGGGCTGTCATAGACATGACACTTCCGGGCCATCTGTGTCCAGATGCCTTAATTGCAGACTGAAAGACGGAGCAGACACATTTTTCGGCCAAATGAGCAGCACCACAAAGATGCCTGATATCACAGACGCAGAGCGAGGCTGCGTCATCAGGCTGCCTGTGAGCTTGGATTCGATTCTGGGACCTTCCTCACACTCTACCAGGAATAATCAGGACCAGGACCAGCAGCTCGGTGCAAAACACACTAGTGAAACCCGCTTTTCTCCTTCAGTGTAGACGGTGACCTCGTTTTTTTGTTTTTTGGTACTAGGATATCAAAATCACAACCTCATGCTTGCCAGGCAGGCGCTGTGCCGCTAAGCTACATCCCCAGCCCCCACAGCCTATTTCTATAGATCCGGACCCCTCTGCTCCTGGGGGTCCCCAACGACTCCACGGACCCCACCGACCACATACTTGTATTCCTCTTCCTCCTTGGAGCTCTTTTTCGGTTGGTATTTCTTCGAAAGGTTCCTAAAATGAGAAGGCAGACACAGCGCGGGAGTTAGAAAGCCAACCGGGAAACCAGGAGTGAAAGACAGCGGTACTCTGCTGACAAGCTTTTCTCACGCGCACACACATGCGCGTGCACAGGCGTGCACAGCTGGAACCCATCTCTTCCCTCCTCCCACGCGCGCCTCAGGCTCCTGCTGGCAGTGACAGTGATGACAAGGACCAAGTCTACGTCACAGCCTGGGGCCTTTGACCTCCTGGGCAGAGTAAATCAGAACCGGAAGCGGTGACCAGGGGGTCACTTCCCGGGGGGAGTTGGGACTGACGTGGTGGTTTTCATCCGTGGCCCTGCGGCCACTCCCTCGTGGTGACCTGCAGCCTTCGCTGGCCACTGTGCCCAGGATCCAGGCTACACTGCCCGGTGTCCAGGATGAAGGCCACTGCTGCCCAAGGCACCTTTCCAGAGCAGCCAGAAATGACCAGGGCCCTCTCTGGGCCAAGAAGCCGGGCGCCTTTGTCTGTCTGTCTGTCTGTCTGTTTTCACTTCAGGGCTTAATCTCACTATCACAGGAAGTATCCTACCCTACACTTATTATTTAATTTCCTTGGCTACTTGTTGCACCGGAGTGCCACGGTAAGAGAAACGCTATTTTAGCTTCATTAGAACTTCCTTGCCTCATCTGTCCGCAGAAACCCACAGGGTAAGCTTGCAGCCTGCCACGGTTTTTCTTGGCATTACATTATGAAACAATGTCCTGCAAATCCACAGTTATAAGTCTTTTTTTTTTTTTTTTTTTTTTTTTTGGTCTTTTTGAGACAGGGTCTCGCTCGCTATGCAGTTCAGTCTGCCTTACGCTCACTTTGTAGCCCAGGCTGGTCTGGATCTGGCAAGGATCCTCCTGCCTCAGCCTTCTGAGTGCTGGGATGACAAGCGTGCACCACCATGCCCCGCTAGTTACTGAGTCTTTTATATGACCGCAGAAACACCACTTTGGGACTCCCACCTCGGCAAGCCTCCACGTTCCTCTCCACCGACCACGCACATTCGGCAACATGGGGGATGGGGGTGGGGTGGGTTTACTCCCTGGCACCAGAAAAAAGAAAGTCAAGAGCATGGGCAGGCGGGGCGGAAGCATGTCAGCAGTCAGTCTGGGGGTCACAGAGCTTAGCTCGGCTCCCTTTGTCTCTTCCTGGCCCAAGGAGTGAGCGACAGAAAACACCAGGTCGGTGCAGACGGCAGTGACCCACAGCCTGCCCGCACGTCCACTCATCCATGAGGCGCAGGGGACTGTCCAGTTCTCCTGTTTTTAGTGCCAGCTCTGCGGTCCTCCCAGGGTCAGTTGGTTCCTTCCTTCCTGCTATTTTTCTTAAACCAGGAATAGAACTCGGGACCTTGCACTTGGCAGGCAGGCGCCGTGCCCGGCTCACCTTGTGGTTTTCCCAGACAGGGTCTTACGTGTAGTTCTGCCTGGTTTGAATTCACTACGTAGCTTTGTTTTTTTGAGACACAGAATTGTTATGGAATGGAGCTCACCTTGAATTCATTGTGATCTTCCTGCCTCAGCCTCCTGGGTGCTGGGATGATAGGATTTATCTAATCACTCTAACTCCAAAAGGATATGAAACTTGGGGTGCAGCTCCGCGGTGAGCAGTTGCATTTGCCCAGCATGTGCCCGGGCTTGGGTTCCCTCCCCAGCATTGCAAAAAACAAAACCGAAAAACAAAGGGCAAAGACCACAAAAAGACCAAAATTTTACTCAAGGTTGTACCTTAGAGCCTTATAGGATACAGAAGACAAAAAGCAGGCATAGTTTATGTTGAAAACACACTAACTTTCTTTGGTTGGTTTACCACAACCATCCCTTAAAAGACACAGATGGGAGTTGGGGGTGAGGCCACACACGTCTCATCCCAGCACTTGGGAGGCTGAGGCAGGAGGATCACTGTGACCCTGAGTGTAAAGCCAGCCTGAACTACGTAGGGAAACCCTATCTCAAAAGAAAAAAAGGGCTGGGGATTTAGCTCAGCGGCGTAAGTGCCTGCCTTGCAAGCGCAGTCGTGAGTTCGATCCCTGGTACCGATAAAAAAAAAAAATCAGTAATTCTATTCTGAATATATTTAGGACAACATATATGGGAAACTGGGACAGCCTGGTGAGGTATTTTTCAGTATTAACCATTTTCCTGTTAATTATAATTTACACACTGAAAATACCACTTCTAAATTCATATCTCCCATTAAAATTCCTTGAAGAGTGTGTTAGATTAAATCCACATTTTCCTTTTAGCTTCCAGGTCTTCCTTCACAGCCATAAAAATCACTGCAATGCTGGGCGTGGTGGTGCATGCCTGAAATTCCAGCACTCCTGAGGCTGAGGCAGGAGAATCCAGGCAAACTGGAGGCCAGTGTGGGCTACAGAGTGAGTTTATAGGCCGGCCTTTACTACACAGTGAAACACCTTCTCCAAAAAAAGAAGACAAAAGTAAAGAGAAAAAGCCAGTGAAACGTTCCACGCTGGCAGCTGAAGAAGCCTGGCTTGTGAGAGGTGGGAAGGAGAGGCCCGCGGTCCAGTTCCCGTCCAGCAGTCAAATCCCACCTGTGGCCAGGCCTCCCCAGGCGGATCCCACCGGACTCTGGTGCTGGGTCTGATGCAGAGGATTCTAAAAGCACCATGAATGATTCACTGCTTTGATGCTCAAGAAGAAGCGACCTTTCCATCTCTACTGCCTCGGGCCAGGCTCCCTGCCCTGCTTGGGGTGAATCATGTTTAAAGTCAAGGCAGAAACATCACCTTTAACCTGGGTGGGGGGGCCCAGGCGGTACCCCAGCACTCAGGAGGCTGAGTGGGGAGGATGAGGGAGTTCAGGGCCAGTCTGAACTGTGTACTGCACAAGCAGATCCTGTCTCAAAACCAAAAAAAATCCATCATCTTTAACTTTTATGGGGCTGAGCGTGGTGACCCAGGGCTGGGAGCTGGGTACCTGGGAGGCTGAGGCGGGAGGGTCATCACCTGTGAGGTCCAGGCTGGCCTGAACCATGGTGAGATGCTGTCTCCAAAAAGCAGAAACAGAATAGAATGAAAATAAATAAGCACAGATAACTGAAGTCTGAGGTCTCTGTCAGGAATCAGAAGTGTTTACTCAGCTCTGCTCTGCAGACTAAAAAGGAAGAGGCACACCGTCCCCTGCTAGGAATGCTGGGTGCAGACCTGGTGACCTGGGCAGGCAGGCAGTTTACAGGGCGGACTGGGCTCCGGGCCAGGCCCAGGAGGCTCGGCTCAAGGCGGAGCCCAGGGATGCTGCAGTTTCTTCCTTTTTTTTTTTTTTAAAGCTCACCACAGATTTCTGCATAAAAGTGGCCAGGGTAAAACTCAACCACAGAACAGTGCTTTCCGGACAACAAAATGTAAAAGACAAAGGCCAGGACACTTTTTCTGTTGCTTCTTGGCAGGGTGGGATGTGTGCAGCTGACACAGACTCCTGCTGTGGAGTTCAGGTTGGTTTTGAACTCACTATGACGCCCAGGCTGGCCCCAACCTTGTTGTCCATCCTCCTGCCTCAGCCTCCCAAGTGCGAGGCTGACAGATGTGTGCCACCATGCCCTGAACTAAGATAATTTTCAACAAGAAAATAAACAAACCCTCAGTCTATAACCTTCAGGAGAAGGTGACAGGGAAAGGGCCAGAGGACTCGGCCGCTCACAGCCACAGGACCATTGCAGACAGGAGTGGGGGGCAGGGAGGGCCCCAGAGCCGGAACAGGAAACGGCAGAAGATGCTGTGGTACCCAGGCAGCTCTGTGGGAGGGTCCTCACCCTCTGGGCTCTGAGCATGTGCACAGGCGCCCCTAGACCTGGGGCCCACAGATCCACAGCCCTCTGTGCTGCAGGGACTCAGCCCCTGACAGGAGCACCCCAAATCCCAGAAGCAACACTAGAGCCCCAGGCTAGGGCTCCCCAGCCGCTCGCTTGCCACCCAGGGAGGACCTGGAGACCAGGAGAGGAGGTGCTGCCAGGGACGTCCAGCCACCAAGTGACAGGCCACGGCTGGCACTTGAGGTCTCGCACCCCGAAGAGACAGGGCTCCCGTGCTCCTCTGCAAGCTCTGCAGATGAAGGTGATGGAACTGGGGGAGCAGCAGTCAGTCCCCAAATCCACTGCTAGGGAGAGCAACGATCCACGTTCACAGTGGCACAGTCTGTAACAGCAAAGTCTTGAGCACAGCCCAGATGCCCATCAACCCATGGATGGATGCAGATGTGGATTTTTGCACAGTGGAGTACTACTCGGCCATAAAAAAGGATAAACTCAAGACACTCCCAGGTCAATGCTGCACCCTGAGTTCCGCTCTTAAGTGAAATAAATCAGACATGCATTTAAACACCGTGTGGCTTTTCTGGTGTAAGAAACCAGAAGTGTACATGAGGACCCAAATGTATGACAGATACTGGGAAATGGGAACCAAGGGTTCAGGTGGGAAGGGGAACAAGCGGAAGGGAGGAAGGGGCAAGGAAAAAAGAGAAGAAAAGCTGGAAACAAAACCTTTGTAAATGGAAGGGGAAGGAAGGTAGAAGGGAGGGAGGGGAATGGGAAAGAAAGAAGCGGCGAGCTACACCACGCACAGGTACAAACTACTGCTCTGCACGGGAACTCCCACCTGCAGTCCCAGTGCTCTGGGGGCTCGGGCAGGAGGAAGGAAAGTTCAAGCCCAGGCTGGGAAACTCAGCAAGGCCCTGTTCACAATTAAAAAGAAAAGACAAGGGAACAGAGGAGCAGCACTGCAAAGGCCCTGGGGTTAATTCCAGTACCAAAAAAAGCTAAGCATGGCACAGGAGGGTCATCACCATGATGTGAGGTGTACTGAAGGGGGGCAGAGTTCACCTGAAAACCGCTAAGTGAGATTCTCACTGCAAATGCGGAAGAATGGGGGGGGCGGGGCAGGCAAGGGCTCCGAGGGCTCCGGCTCCCTTTCCCCAGGGTGGAGGGCGAGGAGCAGCCAGGACGGGATGGGCGGGGCAGAAGGGGGGCTGGAGCAGAAACTGTGACAGCCCTGCGGACCCTGGGGACCCGGGAACAAGTGCGATCTAGCCAGGGCCCAGGCAGGACCGAACAGCAGTGTCACTGAAGGGCAGCTGGGCTTGGGGGCTGGAGACAGGAACCCCAAATACACACAGAACCAAGAAACCCAAACGCCAGGCTTGGAGGCGCACACCTGTGCTCCCAGAAACTCAGCAGGCTGAAGCAGGAGGGTGGCCAAGTGTTCCAGGCCAGCCTGGGCTACACAAGGCAGTTCAAGGCTAGCCTGATCTGCACAGGGAGACCCCGTGTCACAGACACAGAGACCAGAGGGGAAGGGGTGGCACAGTGGACCTCCTGGGGGGCAGCTAGTGGAGCCGCAGGCTCCCGCCACACAAAACACAGCCCCACCTCCACCACATGCACATGCGCAGAGCTGCCCAACGCCCAGCCCCGCAGTCCTCCAAACAGGCAGGGGACCAGGACCCAGGCACAGGGAAGTGTGGTCTGTGCTGGTGGAAAAGAAGCCACAGACAGTCCCTGCAGGAGACCAGGAAGGGAGTGGACATCTCTCAGGCCAGGCGCCCTGTGAGGCGGATCCAGTCCACCTGAAAGATGACACGTCAGGACTAAAGGGCCCTGCCTGACCAGTGGCCGCCGACGGGACCATTTTCCGATCCAGCTCCCGGCTCACAGCCCACGTGCTGCTGAGGCGGAGACACGTAGGGTGCGGGGGCTGCTGTGGGTCTGGCTCACTGAGCTGAACTCACTATGTGGGCCGGGCTGGCCTTGAACTTGCAGTGGCCCTCCTGCCTCAGCCTCCCATGTGGATGCTAGATGCTTACTTAAACAATGGTGATGTCAGCCCCGTGAAGATCTGTGTCCTCTCCTCATGGCAGTGCATTTCCTATGCACACTCTGGATGAAACACGAAACCCTTTTACCTTTTAAAACAGGTAGGTCTCACTATGCAGTTCAGGCTGGCTCTGAACTCAGAGCAATCCTCTTGCCTCAGCCTCCCAAGTGCTGGGATGACAGGAGTGCGCCACCACACCTGGCAAAGATCCCACACTCCTGAAATAAGAAGTCAGGCTGCGGTGGTGGTGCTTGCGTGTCATCCCAGCAGCCAAGAGGCTGAGGCAGGAGAGTGCCATGAATCTGACGGCAGCCTGGGTGACACAGTGAGCTCAAGGCCAGCCTGGACTACACAGTGAGACCCTGTCTCAGAAATCATCCAAAATAAAGTGAACCTCGGGACTGAGGCTGTAGTGGGCAGCTCAGCAGAGGAAAAACAAGACATAAGACCGAGCCTAAGAAACAGCACCCGCTTTTTATCGTGCATGTCCTGCAGAGGTGAGTTTTTCCTGCTCGAGTGGCTGTTCCAAGGCCTTCCACGTCGGGGGCCAGCGTAGACACAGAGGGGCCAGCGCCCATCCCCTACCTGAGCTGCTTGGCATAGCTGAGCTCGATCTCGGAGCGCTCTCGCACGAACTTGATGTACCTCTCCAGTACATCGATGCCCCACTGCGTGTGCTTCTCCAAGCTGTCAAACTGGTCCTGCAGGGACAGAGGCCACAGGTCAGCAGCAGCTTCCCCGACACCTCCCAGGTCCCCACCTCCCAGGCCCACAGGTGGTGTCACCGTGCCCAGGTCTAGCCCAGGGACTGCCCAGGGCGCTGTGCCCTGTGCTGCCCGCTCGGCCTCCTATGCCTTTGAGACACACAGCTGGGAAGGGACGGGCTCTTGTCTGATGCCACGCGCTGGCGGTGACACTGGGTGCACGTGGGTCAGCCCCTGGGGAGCGCAGAGCAACAGGCCACGGGGCGGGAAGGCAGCGAGGGCTTGGCTTTCCCCTACTGGATGAGGGGGCTCTGGCTTCAATCAGACACACTGAGCCCCGACCATGTGCACAGACCCGGCTCAGCACCAGGGGACCAACAGTGTCTACTAGCCGCGGCTATTCTGGGGCCAGGGTGTCCAGCACTTGGTAGGGTGGCTCCCTTTGGTGAAGGGGTGGGCGTGGCAGGCACGAGATCAGACAGTACAGAGCTGGGTCACCCAGCAGGGCCCTGAATGCCAAGCTCAGAGTGTCCAGTGTCCCAGGAGCTGCAGGAAGAGTGCCCAGGCCACAGGCCCACTTCCGGACAGCAAGCTGGTGGCAAGGCTAGAGGGCCCGGGGGGCTGTGGGAGCTCTGCCCTGAGACTCCACGGGACTCAACACAGAGCTGAGACAGCCAGGCTCAGTGCACCCAAGGTCAGGACAAGGCTGGGGCAGCGAGGGATGAGGAGTCGATGGGGGGGCAGGGCAGGGACGCAGGCCAGAGAGGCACTAGCTCAGGAGCATGGCACACAGTCAGGGGCTGCAGGACAGAAGACCAAGGCGCAGCCCCCCAGGAGACCCAGTCCCTGCAGAAGGCTCATCTGTCACCCTGGCACTCACTCAGGAGGCTGAGGCAGGAGGGTCTGGCAGGCAGGCCAGACCAATTGTGAACTCGGGACTTGGAACCCTTGACTGCGGGGGCCCTGCTGTGCTGTGGCTTTTCCGTGCTGCATGGACTTTACGTCCCCCGTCCTGTGTAGACTGTCTGCAGTCAAAGTCCTGCCAGGTGTGGGGATGCTCGCCTGTCATCCCAGCACTCAGGAGGCTGAGGCAGGAGGACTGCTATGAGTCTGAGGCCAACATGGACTACATAGGGAGAACCTGTCTCAAAAAACAAATCACTGTGAAATATCCAGTAGCTTTTTGGAAGGGGGGAAAAGGGGGTTGAACTCACAGCCTCACACTTGCCGGGCAGGCACTATGGCTCTGGGCTCTGTCCCCGCCCTCCAGAAGCTTTTGAAACAGGTATTTAGGTTCTCAGTGATTCCTGGCTGTGTCTGAGGAGATTATTTATCTCCGTTATTTATCTCTGCTGCAGAGGGCTGTCAGCAAACATACAGTGGGACAGGACAACAGCCCTCCCCCCTGCCTGGCTGTAGTTCAGGCTGACTCTGACCTCACTGTGTCACCCAGGCTGGTCTTGAACTCAAAGTGACCCTCCCGCCTCAGCCTCCTGAGGCTGAGCTCACAGGCATGTGCCACCATGCCCAACCACGTTCCCAGACTTCTTTCTCATTCTGTTAAATCTGACTGCATATTTTTCCCATGCACATGAGTTTGTGGTTCTTTGTAACTTTCTGGTGACAGGGACACATATAAAAGCAATAGCTTCTGATAGCATAGTCCTTGCTACAGCAGGATTGCAAGTCCAAGAGCAGCCCAGGGCTACACAGTAAGATGGTCTCTCAAATGACAACCACCACCCGGGGCCTCCACAAGTACTCTGATGCATGCCTGTGCTCACAGGTATTCGGGAGGCTGAAGCGGGAGGATTCTTTGAGTCTAGAGTTCTAGGTCAGCCTGGGTAACAAAGCAAAACACTGTTTCAAAAAACAAACAAACAAACCATGAAATACTACACTAGCCTGAGCCCACACAAAGTTCTTCAACACAGTTTATCTGGGCTTGTACCTCCCTGCAGCTGGGCACCTGTAATTCCAGCATTCGAGAGGCTGAGACAGGAGGATCCACGCGAGTTTAAGGCCGGCCTGGCTACATAGCAGGACCTTGTCTCAACAAAACAAAGCAAGACCATCTGCAAGGCGTGCCGAAGCACTCAGTAAAATGACAGTGTCATTAAACATCTTAATAACCAGGCCCCAGCAGGAATGGACCAATCTATCCCTGGGGCCCGGCGGGCTACACCAGGCCCCACGGCACCACGCCCCACACTACGGCAGGCCTGGCCCCGCCACGCAGGGAAGAGAAAATTCAAAACAGATGAAAAACTAATCAACCACTGACATTCTTGACTAAAACATAAAACATTTAATGGAAAAAAAAAAACCAAACCTTAAAAGATTCTTTTGTGAGCAAATATTATAAATAGTCCTTTAAAACTTAGCCCTTGCTACTTTGAGTGTGGGACAGGATCAAAAAGGGATCACCTCCTGTCATGGGACAACAGCCCAGAGGTCTGCTCTCCCCTGTCAGAAGCTGCTCAGGCCAGGCATGGCACACACATGCCTGGCACCCAGCACTCAGGAGGCTGAGGCAGGAGGATCACCGTGAGCGGGAGGCCAGCCTGGGTTACACAGTGCGTGCAAGACCAGCCTGGCCTGCTTAGTGAGACCCTGTCTCAAAACTTAAATAAATACCTATTAACTCCTTTAAATAGGTAAGAATTATCTCACATGCTAATCAAAATGGCGTATTTTATTGTTTAAAAAAACTGACTTTTGCAAGACAAAGAAAAACCACCAGGAAGAGGGGGTCTGTTTTCCATTCTGCAAACCTCCCTCCGCTGTCTGGCTTAACCAAAGACAGCTGGCTTCTTGCTGGGGCCCCCACTCCGCCTGCTGCTGCTGCGGACTTCGCACACATGAAACACTACAGCTTCCCGCAGACGGGACGGGTGCTTAGAACAGCAGAGCTTCAAGATCTTTTCAGGTCCCTGCAGATATTCTTTGAAATCACAGAAAACTTGACAGCTCATCTCTCAAAGGCTCGAGGCAATGTGGCATCGAAACCACAGGCGGAATTTATCAGATTCGGTCACCATAAAACACTGTCGTCAGTCTTGTACTTTGGATTGGTTTTGTTTCTGAGACAGGGTCTCACCGCGTGGCCCAGGCTGGCCTCAGACTCCGAGGAGCCCTCCTGCCTCAGCCTCTGCCCTCTCCGAGTGCTGTGCACAGTCGGTTAACCCTCTGTACTGGGTTTCTGGAACCCAGGAGTGAAGGTGACACTCTTCATCACGAAGGCCTGGGAGGTGCGCACCTGGCTCTGCCTGGCCCGCTCATCTCTTCTGGGTCCAAGTATCTGGAAGCTGTCGCGCTCACAGGGAAATGTGACCTCCTCCAAAAGCTAATTTTCACTTCAGAGCTGGCACACTATCCCCGGCCACCAATACCACCAGATGCTTCCAGGAAGTGCCACCGTCCCCCTCCATCTAGTTCTAAAAAAAATAGCTGCCGCATCCTCTGCGGCCCCAGTTGTGTGCCGGAGAAAGCGACCCCTCCACTCAGGACTCAGCTGCGTGGGCAGTGGGGGGAGGGGAGGCCACAGGGATCCATCCCTTCTTAGCGCCCATCCTATTAAAAACCATGGGTGCTGGGCGAGCTGTTCAGCTCCTGTAAGCTCTACACTCTGGGAGGCAGAGACAGGAGGGTCCCAGTCTGAGCCCAGCCTGGAAAACTTAGGGACTTAGTAAGACCCTGTTTGGGGGAACAAAACATGCTGAGGGCATAACTCAATGCAAAGCCCCCGGCCGGATTCCCAGCTGGCTCCAGGTATAAAACTGTCCTCACTGTCCCACCAAAGGTCTGTGTTTTGTGACAGACAGGATCTGGCTATGTAATGGAGGCTGCTCTTGACTAAGTAGCCTGGCAATCGTCCTGCCTCGGCCTCCTGAGACTGGGACCGCGGTCAGGCACCACCACGCCCAGCCACTCCGAGTCGCGCATTTGCAAAGACCAAGACAGCTGGGTAATGGAGAGCACTGTGTAATTCATGAGCACACACCTCACGTCCCGGCACTCAGCCGCTCTTTCTAAAACCCCAAGGACTCCAATGGATGCTTCTAGTTGCTGGCTGCAACCTTGTGGCATCCTCCAAGGGCCCCTCCACAGCCCTCTGCTGACCTCACACTTGCCCTTCTTTTTCGAGCCACATCCAGCCTGGCCTTGAGCTCCCGGTGATCTTCCTGCCTCAGCCTCCCAAGTGTTGGGATGACAGGTGGGAACCACAATGCCAGGTCTGACCTTGATCTTAAGGTCTCACTGTCCCTTGAATTCAAACCACCCCAGGCTGGTGCCAGGGCCATTTGGCTACAGGGCTACTTTTCATATGGGGCCTCCTATCATGGGAAAGTGGTGGGTTCAAGGGGCCCAAATCCCCAGGTGAAGCAGTCTGGGGGAGACCAGGATGCTATAGTGACGTCCGTGAGTGACCCAAGGAGAGGGACCTGAGGCCAGCAAATGTTGGTCCACAGTGGGCAGCATGGGCCCCGGTGTCCTGGGCCAGCTCCAATCTTTGCTGTGGACACCTTGCCTGCTGCTGAGTCCCCTTCCGAGGGTGTGGGCACCGTGGGGAGTCCGAGTCCCTTAGGAGGCCATGGGGGCAGCAGGAAAAAGTGTCAGAAGGTGAAGGTTTATCCAAAGACAAATAACAAGAAACCCTCAGCTTAAAACGTTTAAAATCAATTTCATTCAGAATATTAGCACAGCTGAAGGCCAGGCCAAGTGGCACATGCCTGTAATCCCGGCACTCGGGGATGCTGAGGCAGGAGGATCACCGTGAGTTCGAGACCAGCCTGGGCTACACAGTGAGCTCAAGGCCAGCCTGAACTGCACAGCGAGACCCTGCCTCAAAAAGAAAAGTGAAAAGAAAAAAAGCAGCTGTCTATCCACAACACCTAATGCTACATTTATACGACACCCAGTCAGAGCAAGGAGGGACAAGAGGCTATGGGGAAGAGCAGGAGACGCTGGGCAGGAGTACCCTGCCGCTCTGCCTT